GGGTTTAGGGTTTAGGGTTTAGGGTTTAGGGTTTAGGGTTTAGGGTTTAGGGTTTAGGGTTTAGGGTTTAGGGTTTAGGGTTTAGGGTACTTATCACCCCAGTTATAGCTGTACTTATAAGCCCCCCCAAGTCCCCTCTAAGTAGGTTATAAGCAGATTTAATAGTAGGGGTTCGAGGTACCCATGAACCTCCAAGTAGGCTTGGGGGTTTGCTAGGAGGCCCGTGCTTTTCAGCGGCTTAGGTTTTGGGGTCTAGGGTTTCGGGTGCTTCTGTCCCTCATTTGGGTTTGGGAGGATCATAATCCACAATGTTTTTGAGAGGGTTTTTCGCGTCATCCTAGTTTAGAGTTTAGGGGCTCGGGGGTGTGGAGGTTTAGTGCTTTAGGGATTTACGTCGGGGTCTAGGGTTTTAGGGTCAGGACTTAGGGCTCAGAAGTGTGTGTGTGTGTGTGTGTGTGTGTGTGTGTGTCTTTTTTTTTTTTTTGGGGGGGGGGGGGGGGGGGGGGGTAGGGTTCAGAGTCTGGGTTTTTGGGTTGAGTTCTAATGTATACAAGGTTTAAGGGCTGAAGTTCTTGGATTTGGGTTTGAGGCTGGTTAAGGGGGGTTCGGGTTTAGGGTATGGAGCCGCGGGGGTCTTTGGGGGACATGGGGGCCACAATCGTTTCGACCAGCAAGCAAGCAAGCAAGCAAGCAAGCAAGCAAGCAAGCAAGCAAGCAAGCAACCAAGCACACAACCAAGCAAAAACAAGACACGTAAACAAACAACCGCACACGCACGGACACAAACACACACAACAAAAGCAAACACTAACAAAAACAGAGAAACGAGCACAAACAAACAAAACCAAAAACAACCGGCAAACGAAAGCAAACAATAACAGACAAGCAATAAAGGAAACAAGCAAACAGACAAACAAGGAAACAACAACAAACAAGCGAAACCAACAAGTACAAACACACGAGCAAGCAAGCAAGCAAACAAACACACAAGCAAGCAACCCAACAAACAACCGCGACAATCAGAATCCCGGCAACCTCCAATCCAGCAGCAATATGACCACCATCGACCTTGACATAAACACTGCAACAACATCCATGAGTCATTAACATCATGCAGTTTAATCTTAATTTGTATGTAGCAAAAAGCTGGGCTTAGGGAGGGCTTAGCTAGTTTTTGTTTATTTTATTTTAGTTTAGTTTAGTTTAGTTAACAACTCAAACAGCGATGACGATCGGCGCCCGCAGGGGCCATGATGACCACAAGACAACGAGGACGACAGTGCCAGTGACAGCCACAACAACCAGGCAAGCCGACCTTCTCACAAGCCATATTAAGGTTATTTGGGGTTAGGGTTTAGGTCGGGCTTAGTTAGTTTTAGTTTGTTTAGCTTTAGTTTTTAGTCTAGTTTAGTTGGTTTAGTTAGTTTCGTTAGTTTCGTTAGTTTCGTTAGGTTCGTTAGTTTCGCTCACTTTCAGGACATCGCGCGGCCGGACTACGGCCAATCGGTGTCTCTTCGCGAGGGCCGCTTGGTGTTCTGCGAGAGTTGGAGAACTGACCATGTCATTTTCATCCCGGGAAGCTTGGGCTAGGGTTTAGGGTTTAGGGTTTAGGGTTTAGGGTCTGGGGTTTAGGGTTTAGGGTTTAGGGTTTAGGGTTTAGGGTCTGGGGTTTGGGGTTTGGGGTTTAGGGTTTATGGTTTAGGGTTTAGGGTTTAGGGTCTGGGGTTTAGGGTTTAGGGTTTAGGGATTTGGGTTTAGGGTTTAGGGTTTAGGGTTTAGGGTCTGGGGTTGGGGTTTGGGGTTTAGGGTTTAGGGTTTAGGGTTTAGGGTTTGGGGTTTAGGGTTTAGGGTTTTGGGATTAAGGTTTAGGGTTTAGGGTTTAGGGCCCTAGAAAATGAGGGAATGAGGGACCTAGATAATCCCTTACAGGGTAATGCATAGGGCCCTCATTCTCTCATTCCCTACGAAGAACCAGGAGGAAGCTTGGGCAAGCAAAGAACTCTCAACTTTAAAGCATTTAGGGTTTAGGGTTTAGGGTTTAGGGTTTAGGGTTTAGGGTTTAGGGTTTAGGGTTTAGGGTTTAGGGTTCAGGGTTTAGGGTTTAGGGTTTAGGGTTTAATAAGGGTTGAGGGTCTTAGGGTTTAGGGTTTTAGGGTTTAGGGTTTAGGGTAACCCTAAACCCTCAGCCCCAAACCCGAAGCCCAAATTTTGGGGTTCAGGGGGCTGCTTTCTTCTGGGCTGATCTGCATAATGGTCCCTTCGTGCACCCTAAGCTATGACAGGACATTTCGTATAAGAGAGGGGCCCAAGAAAGGCCCCACCACATTTGGAGATCCACCTGTATATGAAGCGCTAGGGTTTAGGGTTTAGGGTTTAGGGTTTAGGGTTTAGGGTTTAGGGTTTAGGGTTTACGGTTTACGGTTTACGGTTTACGGTTTAGGGTTTAGGGTTTAGGGTTTAGGGTTGCGTTCCGAAGTTGCCAGCTTCACTGCTCTCGAGCTGCTGATCAGGCGAGGTCCCAGTCTTTTGGGCCTGCGGCGTCACGCCGCAGAACGCGCTGCGCAACGCCAAGCTGCCCTTGGCCCCAGGGCAGCAAGGGTTTAGGGTTTAGGGCTTAGGGTTTAGGGTTTGGGGTTTAGGGTTTAGGGTTTAGGGTTCAGGGTTTAGGGTTTAGGGTTTAGGGACCACGGTGCGGCTTTGTTGTTTCGGATTTGGGGCTGCCAGGGTTTCGGGTGTTTACAGTTGTCATCCTCAACTAGGACCCGGAGTAGGCCCTTATTCCATGTTTTTAGGGTTTAGGGTTTAGGGTTGCCCCTTAAGATCCCCTTTAAGACAAGAAGGGCACCCTTTTCATACCTAGGTTACTCTTGGGTCTAGTTAACCATTGCATGTCGAGTTTACGGTTGAGGAAGCCATCAGCGCTCGAACCCAATCCCCAAACCCTAAACCCCGAGCCCTGAGCTCCAAACCCATTTATTAGGGTTGGGACTTAGGGTTTAGGGTTCAGGGTACAGGGTTTAGGGTTTAGGGTTCAGGGTACAGGGTTTAGGGCCCGAAAGCCTATACCCTAAACCCCCCTAACTGTGGACCGCAGGTCATCACGCACGCGCCCGGCCACATGTTTGTGGCCGACATTACGAACGATCAGCTTAAGAGCTGGGAGGCGGTTCAATCTAAGGGAAGTCAAGTTTAGGGTTTAGGGTTCAGGGTACAGGGTTTCGGGTTTAGCGCCCTGAAGCCTGCAGTTGCAGACCCCCTACAGCCCCCAAAACCTAAACACAAAAAACCCAAAGCGTAGGGTTTAGGGTTTAGGGTTTAGGGTCTTAGGGTCTATGGTTTAGGGTTTAGGGATCGTGCGAGAGATTGTGGGAAGGTGCCAGGCAAATGGTCTGCCCGCCCGGCCGAGGAGTTGCTTGGCCGAGAGTTAGTCAGGATGTTTGGGTTTAGGGTTTAGGGTTTAGGGTTTAGGGTTTAGGGTGTAGGGTTTAGGGTTTAGGGTTTAGGGTTTAGCGTTTAGGGTTTAGGGTTTAGGGTTTAGGGTTTCGGGATGACTCTTTGTCCATGGCGGTCCTATGATGTCGGGCTAACCCTGAACCCTAAACCTTGACATATGTTGACTCTGGTAGGGGTGCAGGGGTCAGGGTTGGATTTAGTACATAGGGGTTGATGGATTTAGGCTTTATGGGTGCTTAGCCGTAATTCCCCAACCCGACCCCCTAAGCCCCTAAGCCCCGAACGCCCTAAACCCCTAAGCCCCAAACCCAACACCTAAACCCAAGCCCCATACCCTCAAGCCCGAAGCCCTGAAGCAAAACCCTAAACCCTAAACCCTAAACCCTAAACCCTAAACCCTAAACCCTAAACCCTAAACCCTAAACCCTAAACCCTAAACCCTAAACCCTAAACCCTAAACCCTAAACCCTAAACCCCTAACCCCTAAACCATAGTAACCCTGAACCCTGAACCCTAGAGATGAGAGCCGCAGCTTCAGGTGATCCGGCCCGCAATGAGCCTTCGGTCGCCCGAATCGCGGGCAAAAAAGGTCCGCCGGCGACCCCCAAGAGCCTTCGTAGGGTTTACCTGGGCCCCGAATTACCTACAGTTTAGTAGGACCTACCCCTTAATTAGTAGGTATGACCCATTAAACTGTAGGTAAATTAGGGTTTAGGGATTGGGGTTCAGGGTTCAGTGTTTGCGGCTTAGGGTCTGGGGTTTAGGGTTGTAGGGTTTTGCGTGTAGGGTTGAGGGTTTGGGGTTTCGGTTTAGGGTTGAGGGTTTAGGGCCCCACGCTCTTTAGTTATGGTAGACTTCCGTAGATTTGTGCTTGACGACCCCAATGTGATTTAAGGTACATTCTTATATTCAGGGTATTGGGCTGTCCGCGGATTAAGCCCCTCAATCTGCTTTAGGGCTAAACTTTAGGGCTAATACCGGCAAGTCAAGGGGCCTTGAAAGCCTCCGTTTCGCAAAATTTCGGGGGTTTCGGATCAAGGGCTTAGGGCCCAAAACCCCAAACCCAAAACCCAAAACCCCAAGCCCAAAACCCCATGCCTCAAAACCCAAAGCCCCAAATCCCAAAAACCCAAAACCCTAAATCCCAAAAGCCAAAAACCCCAAAAACCTAAACCCAAAATCCCAAAACCCTAAACCCAAACCCCAAAAACCCTAGACCCAAAATCCAAAAAGCCCTTAAACCCCAAACCCAAAATCCCAAAAACCCTAAACCCAAACCTTCTTCGGGCGATCTGGCCCGCACCCCCGACTCCCTAAGCCCACCCCTTAGATCCCCAAACCCCTAAACCCCTAAACTCCTTTAACCCCCAAACCCCTAAACCCCTAAATCCTCAACCCCTAAACCCCTAAACCCCTAAACTCCTAAGCCCCCAAACCCTAAACCCTAAACCCTAAACCCCAAACCCCAAACCTTAAACCCCAAACCCTAAACCCTAAACCCGTCCCGGCCCGGACCTTTCTGCATCCGATGACCCGCGGCTCCTTAGGCCGGCAGCGACGGTGGCCAGTCAGGAGAAGCTGAGGGTGGCTTGGCCCTTCATGTGGGTTTAGGGTTAAGGGTTTAGGGTTCAGGGTTTAGGGTTTAGGGTTCAGGGTTCAGGGTTCAGGATTAGGGTTTGGGAGATATTTCGAGTTCAGGGCTCGGGGTATTGCCCTTATGAGCTCTCAGGCTCCCTGTTTTGTCGACAGCTGCTGGGAACTTAGAGCTAGACCAAGGTTTTTTGGTTGGTTGGGGATGGGTGGGGGCGGGACTTGTTTTGTATTTGTTTCGGTCTATGGAAGGTGTTGGTTCGGATACATTGGAATGTGGATGGAGGCTTGTGTTTTTCATGGCAGTTCTCAAAATTGAGGTGCCTTTTGAGGGTGCCCTAACTAACCCGAACCCTAAACCCTGAATCCTAAACCCAAAATCATGTTCCTCGCATTCGATGCCCGGACTAGGCCTTAGGGTTTAGGGTTTGGAGTTTCGGGTTCAGGGTTTTGGGTCCTTCAGCACCAGACGAGCTGGATGGCAGTCAGTAGCCTGCGTCAAGCGCGCTGGGGAAGCCTTAAAACCTCTCTTTCTTGTCTGTCTGTTTCTTCATGTAACTATATGTCCAAATTTCTGCATATCGAGGCATCTTGTATATATAGCGATAACCCCTCAACCCTAAACCCTAATCCTCCCTAAACCCTAATCCCTGAACCCCAAACCCTAAACCCTAAACCCTAAACCCTAACCCTAAGCCCGAAACTCCAAACCCGACAGACTCGCAAGACCCCTTCTCCGCAGACATGTTGGTTCCCGAGGTCTCGGCCAGCCCGTGTGTGCACAAGACTGCAGCGGACCAAGAGGATTCGGGTTAGGGGTTTAGGGTTTAGGGTTTAGGGTTTAGGGTTTAGGGTTTAGGGTCTAGGGTTTAGGGTTTAGGGTCTAGGGTTTAGGGTTTAGGGTCTAGGGTCTGGGGTTTAGGGTTTAGGGTTTAGGTTTAGGGTTTAGGGTTTAGGATCTACAGCTTAGGCTTTAAGCCCTGATAAACCCACATGCCCGCCTAGGGTATGGAGCCTAGTGTGTTCCTGGCAGCCGGCAAGGAAAAGTTATTTTCTAGGTCTTTCGAACTGACCATTGGCTTAGGTGTTTCAGGGGTCTCACACCCCAATCCCCTGAAATCCAAACCCCCCCCCCCCAAACCCCTCCGAAACCTTAAGCCCCTAAAACGCCCAGCATGTGTAGTAACGACGGACAAGCCAGGGTAATGACGCAACAGGGGGTAGTAACAGCGCGTGACAAGTACTGACGCTAAAGGGGGGGGGGGGCCTAAACCCTAAACCCTAAACCCTAAACCCTAAACCCTAAACCCTAAACCCTAAACCCTAAACCCTAAACCCTAAACCCTAAACCCTAGACCCTAGACCCTAAAACCTAAACCCGAAACCCTAAACCCTAAACCCTAAACCCTAAACCCTAAACCCTAAACCCTAAACCCTAAACCCTAAACCCATGTTTATCTGTTCTCTTCCCATGTAGTGAAGCCCAAACATGGCATAGGGAGCATGGGATTTACTGGGCTGTTGCGCAACTTGCAGAGCATTAGGAGGTATAATCGGGCCTTTTTAAGGGATTATAGGGTATAATAGGGCCTTTTAAGGGATTATAGGGTATAATAGGGCCTTTAAGGGATTAGAGGGTAGAATACGGCCTCTTAAGGGATTATAGGGTAGAATAGGGCTTCTTAAGGGATTATAGGGTAGAATAGGGCCTCATAGGGTAGAATAGGGCCTCTTAAGGGATTAGAGGGTAGAATAGGGCCTCTTAAGGGATTATAGGGTAGAATAGGGCCTCTTAAGGGATTATAGGGTATAATAGGGCCTTTTAAGGGATTATAGGTTATATGGGTTGGTGGTCTCTTTTATTTAGGGGTTCTGTTTTATACGGAATTTATTCGGGGTTCTTATTCGGGTATGTAGGGGCTATATGAGGGTACAAGGGTAACAGATAGAGAGGCCACCGGCCTTTATACATCTTGAGGAATTGTTTTTGGGTCCTAGCTGGGTCACATGCTGTGGTGTTGAACCCTAAACCCTAAACCCTAAACCCTGAACCCTAAACCCTAAACCCTAAACCCTAAACCCTGAACTCTACACCCTAAACCCTAGGTCACATGCTGTGGATACTCCAGTATCCTCGGAGCCAGAGTTTAATTTGCGCTAGCCCCCCTTGCCCAGACATCTGGGGGTCTGGGACAGGTCAGGGGTCTAGGGTTTAGGGTTTAGGGTTTAGGGTTCAGGGTTTAGGAATTCGGAATAGCTAACTCTCCACAGCTCCCAAAAAACTCACAAGCCCTAAGCCCCACAACCCCCCAAACCCCCTCCATACACTCCCCCCTCAAGAAAAACTCCAAAACTCTAACATCCTTAAACTCTCAGACCCTTAACAAGGCCCTCAAGCTCTCAGCTCTCAGACCCTTAAAACTCTAAGACCCCAAGGCCCGCAAAAGAAAGACCCAAAACTCTAAGACCCTTAAACTCTCAGACCCTTAAAACTCTAAGACCCCAAGGCCCACAAACAAAAAGGAAAGGTTCCAAGATTCTAAGACCCTTAAGACTCTCAGACCCTTCAACCTCTCAAGAAAAAAGGCCAAAACTCCAAGACCCTTAAAGGTCTAAGACCCTTAAAAGCTCTCAGACCCTTCAAAACTCTCAAGAAAAAGGCCAAAACTCTAAAGACCCTTAAAGGTCTAAGACCCTTAAAAAAACCCTCAGACCCTTCAACCTCTCAGACCCAACTTAGGTGGCTGTTCCCTTGACCTCCATCACCTCCGGTGGCGTGTGGGGGACCCCGGGGCGGCTACAACTAGCCCTAAACCCCAAGCCCTAGACCTTAAACCCTAAACCTTAAACCCTAAGCCCTAAGCCCTAAGCCCTAAACCCTAAACCCTAAACCCTAAACCCTAAACCCTAAACCCTAAACCCTAAACCCTAAACCCTAAACCCTAAACCCTCACTCCCAAGGATCCACAGAGGTCGGAATAATTCCGAATAGTATTCCCGCCTAGTCCCTTTAATTCATGGGATTAAGACTCCGGCCCCACACAGGTTCCCTTAGTATGCTCCCACTATGGCCCTTGCGATCCCTTGGAGGATCTTTGCAAAAGGGTTCCGAGGCAGAGTCCCATGAATTTTTATAAGTATACTATCAGGGTTTAGGGTTTAGGGTTTAGGGTTTAGGGTTCAGATCCCCCCAAAACCCTATTCGAATTATGAAGGCCCCTACAGAAGCCTCCGAGGTCGCTTCTGGCTTAAGGGAGTTCAGGGTTTCGGGGTTGTGGCTTTAGGATTTAGGATTGAGGTTTTGGGGTTTAGGGTTTAGGGTTTAGGGTTTAGGGTTGGGAGGTTGGGAGGTTGGGGTTTAGGGGTTTAGGGTTGAGGGTTCAAGGTTCAGGGTTTGGTGTGTTTGGGGCTGAGAGTTTCGGGCTGATATTGGACCTTTGAAAGAATTCGCGCTTCTTCAAGCGCAAGCTTTCATGCTATGTCATCTGCAGGCTTACAAGGCGCTTACAAGGCTCATAATTTGCGATGTTCCCCCGTATACTAAGAGTCCTTAAATCGGGATTCTAGTACCCCTATCATAATCCCTAAGGGGGGCTGTTAGTAGAAGGGGGAACTTCCCAACTCATATTCTTCAGTTCTATTCTTATTGCATTCAAGTGTGGTCCATATTTCGGACCCCTGCAAAACTACAGGCGCCCTTATGTTTTTAGTGAACCCAGATGGCACAGGCCTAAAAAATATAGGGTTAAGGGTTTAGGGTTTAGGGTTCAGGGAAACCCGAAACCCTCGACCCTAAACCCTTCACCGCCGATTTGTTTTTATGCTTCTCTGATGCCGGATTGTAGTACCCCCGATGATCATCCCTATGAAGGACTGTTAGTGTAAGGGGGAACATCCAAACCCGCGAAGATCGTGGGAGGTCGATATCTGCAAGCAGTGCGTCCACTGGCTTGAGTAGCTGGGGCCCTGGTGTAACATCCGTCCCAGTCCCAATGTAACTTGCTCGTCCCCAATCCCTAAGCCCTCAACCCGCCGAACGCCAACCCCTAAAAGAGCCCGAATCTCACACCCTGGATGTGGGGAATTGGGGACCGTTTTAGATAGTATGTAGTTTTGATCCTTATATGGGGGTTTACGAAAACAAGGGACCCCTAACATACCCCCCCCCCCCCCCCCGAAATAGTAGGATTCGCTCATAGTAAGGACCCCCCTACTTTCGGAAACCCCCATATAGGGATGATAAGGGATGGTGTTGGTAAGTGCTTCGGCTGTGTTACTTAGGCCTCGGTGGCTCTTCGCTTTGTCAGTTGTCACACGCGACGCGTCATGGACTGTGGGTTGAGGATGCGGGGAGTGCAGTCGTTTTGGGATGGAGCGGGGTTCAGTGTTTCTTGCCTTGGTTGTAACGAAGTTCCACAAGTTCTGCATGAGCGCCATGGATTTGGGCTCAAAGAAGCACAGCGCCCGGCCTGTTGAACTTGGCGACTGCTGCTAGGAAGAAGGACCCGAAACCCTAAACCCTAAGCCCTATACCCTCCGAGTGTTGTAAAGCCAACACACTAGATCCCACCTCCACAGGCAAACCTCCTCTCTGAAGCTCACAAGCTTATGCTCTAAACCACATATCCTAGACCCTAGACCCTAGACCCTAGACCCTAACCCTAAACCCTAAACCCTACACCCAAAACCCAAAACCCTAAACCCCAAACCCTAAACCCCAAACCCCAAACCCTAAACCCTAAACCCTACACCCTAAACCCTAAACCCTGAACCCTAAACCCCAAACCCTAAACCCACCTCTGGAGGCCGGACCTCTTTGGCACGAGCCGCGGCACCTCGGGTGCTGGAGCCTGGGAGCCCAGAGCGTGTGGCGGGTGTGCGTGTGGGCAACCCTTAAGAACTCGGGATGTATCATCCAGTCGACAACCCTAAACCCTAAACCCTAAACCCTAAACCCTAAACCCTAAACCCTAAACCCTAAACCCTAGACCCTAAACCCTAAACCCTAAACCCTAAACCCTAAACCCTAAAAGGACCCTAACGTGCAGCACGTGTGGCATACTGCACGCAACGAAGCTGTTGCCAACGATCCTGTACCTGCAGTGATGACAACGTAGCTTTGCATGTAACATCCTTGCTGCGCTTTGTTTCCATCATTGCCGTTGTCCACGAACGTCCTTTGTTATTGGAACAGTTGAAACTGTTGGCATCGTTGATGCTTTGCGCAGGTGGATCCTGCTGTTTGTTCCCTTGGGTGTGCGGTGTGTGTGTGTGTGTTTTGATCCAGGGCTTTTTTGGGCTTTGAGGTTCTTCATGGGGAAGTTGTGAAGGGATTCTATCTGTTTGGGAGGAGAGCTGTAGGGGAAACCATCGTTGAAGATGGCCATCCCGCTAGAGTTTTCTCACCTTTGGGACGTTTACTGGTTCGGGTCTAAGGTTGAGCAGTGGCTTCGAACAGAAGCAGTCTGTTCCTGTTTAGGTTTGGGATCCAGGGGCTTAGGTTTAGGGTGCTTACTACGACTAGAACTGCTGCGTACTTCCGTGCTCGTCACGCATTATCTTGCTTGCCTGGAGCATCCCCAGCCCTAAACCCTAAGCCCTAAACCCTGAACCCTAAAACCTATGGCCTAAACCCTGAAACCTGAGGTCTACTAGGGTAGACTAGGGGCTGTGAGCAGGGTAGCGTTGGGGGATAGGGCAGGGTAGGGTTAAGGGCTGAAGGTTTGGGGTTTAAGGTTTAGGGTGAACGGTTGACGGGTTTAGGGTTAGGGGTTTGTGTAGGGTATGGTAGGGTAGGATAGCTTAAGGTAGGGTAGGGTAGGTTGCGCTACGTTCGGGTAGGGTAGGGGTTAGTTCAGGGTTTGGGGTTTCGGGTTTATGGTTTAGGGTTTAGCGTGTGACCATGCTTGGCTCAGGAATTTCCGTAGCTAGCCAGCAGCTGTTTGCGTAGCATCGAGCCCTCGTCAGCTTTGTCATGGCCATGGCTCGTACGCTTGGGCTCAGCCTAGTTCTTGCTTTGGCTTCAGCAGAGTCCTTGCACGATTGCATTGAAAGCAAGTGCCGCGGCTGTGGTGGTGAGCAATGTCAGCTCTGCCGTGAAGACCAAAACACCGTGTCTGCTTGCGTGTCATCTTGCATGGACACCCTCTGTCATGGCTGCGGGGGGGAGCAGTGCCAGCTTTGTCGCGAGGATGCGAAGACCGTCGAATCCTGCTGCTCCCAGCATGGGCTGGAATCGGTAACTTCGCAGATCGACATGTGCAAGGCCCACCCTCCGACTCCTACGACGCCTTGCGCTGGCTTGTACGGGGCCGAAAGCCTCCAATGTGCCTGGGAGGAGGATGTGAAGACCTGCATGGAGACCACCTGCCGCGGCTGTGGCGGCGAGCAGTGCCAGCTGTGCCGCGAAGATGCTTCGAGGATCGACAGCTGCTGCGAGAACCATTGGCACTCAGTGGATCCGCCGCAGATCTGTAAGGATGCCAAGGACAAGCTGGAATCCAAGGATCTGTGCGACGGGCTCTATGGTGCCGAGGGCTTGCAGTGTGCATGGGAGCAAGATGCCAAGAGCTGCGTGGAGGCTGCCTGCAAGGGCTGCGGCGGCGAGCAGTGCCAGCTGTGCCGCCAAGATGCTTCGAGGATCGCCGGCTGCTGTGATGACCACTGGCACTCCGTTGATCCGCCGCAGATGTGCAAAGACTCCAAGGAAGAAGCTGTTACCAGCTGCTTCGACACCAAGTGCCACGGCTGTGGTGGTGAACAGTGCCAGCTGTGCCGTGAAGATGCCAGGAGCGAATGCTGCACTGGGGCCATGCGAACTCCTTCCTGCGAGGCTTCCAACAAGATGCCAGTTCTTCCATGAAAGTGCTGAGGTGTACAGCTTAGTGGCTGTTGGTGTCGCTTGGAAGGAAGCTTGCAAGTATGCTTAGAGTCTTAGAGACCGATTTTGGGACAAATCTTAGTTGAGGACAGAAGTTCCTGACAGTTCCTGCTTCAGCAATCAATTAGGCCTTTTGGACCGTCTGCATGAGGTTGCATTCCCAGCAGATCAGAATGCAACATCTTCAAACTCCTATGCGAGCGTGCGAGTGAAAGGCATGTGTTGGCCTTCGGAGCTGGGTAGTTAGCCTTTCATCCTTTTGGTTATATAAAATCCCATTACAAATAAATGTTTAGGGTTTAGGGTTTAGGGTTTAGGGTTTAGGGAGCCTCTGATGGGTGGTTCTGACTCGGGCACAACTTAGGCTGCGACCCCATCCGGAGCAGCAACCCTAAACCCTAAACCCTAAACCCTAAACCCTAAACCCTGAACCCTAAACCCTAAACCCTAAACCCTAAAACCCTAAGCATGCCAAGCTAGCCCACCTCTTTGGAGATCTGCAGCTGTCGATCCACACCCTGCTCCTTTAACATTCTTTACCATAAGGGTTGTGGGGTTAGGGTTCAGGGTTTAGGGTTGAGGGTTTAGGGTTTAGAGTTTAGGGTTTAGGGTTTGGGGTTTAGGGTTTAGGGTTTAGGGTGTAGGGTTTGGGGTTTTGTGCTCACCTTCGCTTCAAGAATGACGCGTCTTGATTGATTCAATGCATCTGAGAGGGTGTTCACCCCTCGAGCCGCCCAGAACCCCGAAGGCCCTCATCTGAGCCCTAAACCCTAAACCCCTAAACCCTAGCCCTAAACCCTAGCCCTAAACCCCAAACCCTGAACCCTGAACCCTAAACCCTAAATCCCAAAACCTAACCCTAAGCCCTCTAACCCTAGACCTTGCACCCTAAACTCTGAGCGCCTCAACCCTAAGCCCCCAGCTTCCTAAGAGCACACAACAAACTCCTGTAACCCCTACCTGGGACTTTATTTACCTACAGTTTAAGATAAAAAAAACTGTAGGTCAAGATGGTCCCAGGTGAGCCCCCAGCTAAACCCTAAACCTAAACCCTAAACCCTAAACCCTAAACCCTAAACCCTAAACCCTAAACCCTAAACCCTAAACCCTAAACCCTAAACCCTAAACCCTAAACCCTAAACCCTAAACCCTAAACACACAAGAGAGTCCGAGGCCGGCTCCCACCACGGCGCCGGCGCAAGGCCCTCTGCAGGCTTGGCCAGCTAGGGTTTAGGGTTTAGGGTTTAGGGTTTAGGGTTTAGGGTTTAGGGTTTAGGGTTTAGGGGTTAGGGGTTAGGGGTTAGGGGTTAGGGGTTAGGGGTTTTGGGTTCAACCTTTCGCCCTGAAAGCCCAAGACCCGAAGCGCCTATTGAAGCTACCTCTTGTCTCGAACTCTAGGCTTTCTGGGTGACAGCTTTCCGTACTTCAGAAAGCGTTAAAGAAGAAGAAAGGTACCATATAAAGGGTACCATGTACCTACCCCTGGTTATGGGGGGAAGTAAGGTACCCAAAGAGCCCAAAACGGCTCAATTATTAAGGAATATACCTGAAGTCATGAGTTGGATCCCACTATGATTTAAGGCATATGCCTTGATTCAGGGGTATTGGGCTCTTTGGGTGCCTGGGACTCCAGGTAAGGTTTAGGGGTTCATGGCTTACATCTCAGTCTGGGTTCCTCCAAGGCGGAAGCCCTTCACCCGAAATCCCGAACCTTTAAGGCCCTCAACCCCAAATCCCTGAACCCTAATTAGCCCGAAACCCTAAACCCTAAACCCCAAACCCTGGAATCCATCTCTTCAGCTCCTCTCCCGTGCAGTTCGTGGGCCAATGCCAAGTGCAGCTGCCATCCAGCGCGGCGCAGGTGCTGCAACGGCTTAGGGATTCTTCAGGGGGGTTTAGGGTTTAGGGTTTAAGGTTTAGGGTTTAGGGTTTAGGGTATAGGGTTTAGGGTTTAAGGTTTAGGGTTTAGGGTAGCCCAGTGGTACCCTTTACCCTTTTTTTGGTTCTGGGTTCCCTTATAAAGTAACCAACCCAAAAAAAGGGTGCCCTTATCATAATAAGGTTACTGGGCTACCAAGTTGATGTAGGGTTTACTTTATTGGGAGTTTGGGGTCACCCCTAACCCTAAACCCAAACCCTAAAAAACCCATAAACCCTGAACCTAAACCCTAAACGCTAGATCCAGAATTTGAGGTTGGAGGTTGAGCTTTGAGAGTTCCGTCTTAGGTAGTTCTCTAGGGGTCCCGTTTTGGGTCCCCAAAACCGAACAGAATGGCGCCCTTAAAAGAAGGACCCCAAAAGGGACCCTGATTTAGAGAACTGCCGAACTTGCGCTTGCAAGGCGTGCAGATCAAGGCTCCCTGATCACTCAACCCTAAACCCTAAACCCTCAACCCTCAACCCTCAACCCTCAACCCTAAACCCTAAACCCTAAACCTCAATGAGACCGGCCACGAGAGGCTTCTGTTCCTCAAGAGAGCCGAAGCCTTGAGGTGCAAGTTGAAGAAGGTCAACCCCAAGTACACCCTAAACCCTACATTGGGAGTACTACAGAATCTTAGGTCAGCCCTAAACCCTAAACCCTAAACCCTGAACCCTAAACCCTAAACCCTGAACCCTAATCCCTAAACCCTAAACCCCAAGCCCTAAACCCTAAACCCTAAGCCCTGAGGCCTAAGCCCTAAGCCCCAAGCCCCAAGCCCTAAGCCCTAAGTCGTATAGACCCCAAAACCCGACTTCTTCTTCAGGGCGAGGCGCAACCTCCCCCGCTGCCTCGCGTTGAGGCCCCGCAAAAGAATTTGTTTAGGCGTTGGGGCTTTGCTGTTCAAGGACTTCGGGGTTTCTCCCAAAGAGCCCAATATCCCAATATACCTTAAATTTAGGAGTGTACATCAAAATTTTAATTGTTTCCTGGATCCTAGTTTGATGTACAAGGTGTATTCCTGAATTAAGGGTATTGCCATCTTTTGGGAAGGCTTTCGGAATTAACGTACGTGTTGGGGATAATATCCCTAAACCCCCAAAAGGTAAGGGATTGGTAAACTTGACAGCGGCGGATTGCCATCTTGTCGATCGTCACCGCCACATGGGTGTGAACACCGGCTGGACGGCAAAGCACGGCTGCGATGTACTACTACTACTACTACTACTACTACTACTACTACTACTACTACTTGGTAGCCGAGTGGTACCCTTTTCTTTTCCGAGTGGTACCTTTTTTTTTGGTTCAAGGTTCCCTTACAAAGCAACCGGTACCCATTTTCTTTTTTTGTTCAAGGTTCCCTTACCAAGTAACCAACCCAACGAAGGATACTCCTACCTCTTCGCGAGACTTTTTGGTCATCTGTGCGCGAGATGTTGAAGTAAACCGTGAGTTTGAAAACGTACCCGTGCTCAAAGCTTATTGTTCACCCTTTTAATTGAACAAAAAGGCCATAGAAAAAGGTACCCCAATGCACTTCTTCTTCTTCTTCTTCTTATTGTTATTTGTAACGGTCATCATCATGACCCGCATAGCCCCTCAACGCAGCAGCGCAGGAATCGACCACCAACCCCACCCTAAACCCTAAGCCCTAAGCCCTAAGCCCTAAGCCCTAAGCCCTAAACCCTAAACCCTAAACCCTAAACCCTAAACCCTAAACCCTAAACCCTAAACCCTAACCCCTAAGCCCTAAACCCCAAACCCTAACACGACAGGACCGGAAGCCCTCAATCCCCTGGGCCCTCTACATGGCCCCACCTGGACTTACGGCGCTTGGTTGGTTACTGGGTAGGTGGGAGGTATCGGATCCCGGGCCATAAGCCCAAGTTTCTCACAACTCCTCCCTAAACCCTAGACCCTAGCCTAAACCATAAACCCGAAACCCCAAACCCTAAACCGCCCACTCTCCGAGACCTTGAAGCCAATGGAATGCTAGGGCGCCCATAACTCTTGGGTCTCTTATCGCTAGACACCTTGCAAACCCTAAGCCCCAAACCCCAAACCATCATCGGTTTAGGGTTTAGGGCGTTTAGGGTTTCGGGCTTAGGGTATCCCAAGCCCTAGGCCTTAACCAAAAGCTCTCCTCAGCAGTGACCTTCCAAAAGCACTTAACCGCCAACACCACCGGAAACTGGCTTGCCAGGCTAGGGTGGAGCCGATCCCCCTGGGGCCCCGCGTGGAAGCCCGCGTGTCTGGGGAGGACCCGGTCTAGACAGGGGTTCTGAGGTGGGAATGAGAGAATAATAGGTACCCTGCATAGTTTCCTTTGCAGGGGATTCTCTTCTATAAGGGGGGATTCTGCTCTACGTAGGGTATAAAAGGGGTACCCCTATTTTGGGAAACTCATATAGATTTCCGTAAAGGGTATATATATATATATATTTACATACATACATAGATAAGTATTATATTTATTTCTAGGGGGGGGGGAGACTCTCAAGTGCCTAACCTCTTACAAAGAAAGAGTAAGCTTAGAGTTGTGGTTCTAGGCCCTTTCTCCCCTTTCTTGAGGGTGCTGTCCCTTCAGCCATAGAGTTTTGACGAAGACAGTTGCCAAGCATCAGAAGTCCTTCTGTGGCATTTTGTTCTCGACGACGACGACGGCGAAGCAGAGAACGATCACGACGACAACCGCGGCGCCGACCGACTTCATCTTTCGTCCGGTCGCTTGTCTGCCTTTGTTCTTGGCCTTCTCCTCTTGTCCCGGCGGCCCCAGTCGAGAGATGTTGGGGGCGGAAGCCGCGAGCGGAAACAGTTCATATTGCAGAGTCGCATGGTGTTTTTAAGCTACCACGGCAGCAGCATCGTCGTAGCGCTACTTGGAGGTTCAGGGTACTTAGTTACCAGTTCTAACTGTACATAGAACACACCTTCTCAGTTAGAATCGGTTAGTAGGTATCATGAAACCTCCAAGTAGCGCCTGGCACTTCTCAAGAGCCCAGTTGCTTGGAATCGCCACAACTCAAAACACCCTTTCAGGTACTTCATCAAGGCGTGGCACGTTGCCCCCTGTCGGGGTTCGGGTTGAGGGTTGAGGGTTTAGGAGTTTAGGGTTTCGGGTTTAGGGTTTAGGGTTTGGGGTTTGGGGTTTGGGGTTTGGGGTTTAGGGTTTAGGGTTTAGGGCTAGGGTTTAGGGTTTCTGTAGTGCTCCGCCGAGCAGGAGGATCACTGCCCAGCTTGCGGGACCATCTTCCTGCCCGACTCTGCCGCCCGGCAGCCTCTGTTTCGGGCCCAATCCTGGTTTAGGGTTTAGGGTTTAGGGTTTAGGGTTTAGGGTTTAGGGTTTGGGGTTTAGGGTTTGGGGTTTAGGGTTTAGGGGGTTCGGGTTTAGGATTTAGGGTTGGGGGTTGAGGGGTTTAGGGCTTAGGGTTTATGGGGTTCAAAGGGTTTACAGGGTTTGGGGTTTAGGGTTTAGGGTTTAGGGCCCAGGGTTTAGGGTTGAGTGTTGAGTGAACCTTTGCAACCCTGAATTTCAAAGCCCACCCGAAAGGGGTGCGAGAGGTTCGGGGGGTTAGGGTTTATAGGTGCTAGTATAGACCAGGGTTGTCCTATGCTCTCTAGACCCCAATTCCTGCAGGCCTTCTGCCGCCACTGTGGCCGCAAGCGCTACCAGGTGGACGGAGGGCTTGGGGTGCGTTTTAGTACACTGCGGTTGAGGGTTGCGGGGTTTCGACTTTCGAGGCTTCGAAGGTCAAGCTCCAAACCTCAAACCCCAAACCCCAAACCCTAAGCCTTAAACCTTAAACCCAAAACCCGAAAACCCAAAAACCCTAAACCAAAAACCCTAAACCCTAAACCCAAAAAAACCTAAATATTCTGGGGTTGTGGGTTAAAGGGGCCTCAGGGACTCATGTTTTTCTGGCTTTTGTTGGCCTCTTAGGCTCTATTCCCTGGAGCCCTTTGGGATGAAGATGTGTAGGCTTTAGGGTTTAGGTCTACGCTTCGGGTTTTCGGGTTTCAGGATGCTGGGGTTTGAGGGTTCTAGGGTTTTAGGGTTTTTGGGCTCAGGGTGCAGGATCCTGTGGAGGCGTAGGGGTGGGTCTGGGGTTTGGGGTTTGGGGTTTAGGGTTTAGGGTTTAGGGTTTAGGGTTTAGGGTTTAGGGTTTAGGGTTTCGGGTCCACTGGGGTTTCGGGCAGGGTTCGGGGTTTAGGGTATGTTGTCCGCAGTACGTGCCTCTCCAGTCCCTGCACCTGCCGGAGCCCGACCCTAAGCCCTAATCCCTAAACCCTAAACCCTAAACCCTGAACCCTAAACCCTAAACCTCAACCCTAAACCCTAAACCCAAAGCCTCATGAGCCCTAAACCCTAAACCATAAACCCTGAACCCTAAACCCTAAGCCTCATAAGCCCTAAACCCTAAACCCTAATCCCTATAAACCCAGATCAGCTCTTGGAAGGAGGGGTCGCAGCTCACCCCGCGAGTCTCTCGCGCGCAGGCGCAGGTGGGGGGGGGAGCGGGCTACCGACCCAGCCCCCGAAGAATCAGGCAGGAGCCTAAACCCTAAACCCTACACCCTACACCCTTCAACCCTTCAACCCTTCAACCCTTCAACCCTTCAACCCTCCAACCCTTCAACCCTTCAAACCTTCAACCCTTCAACCCTTCAACCCTTCAACCCTTCAACCCTTAAACCCTTAAACCCTTAAACCCTTAAACCCTTAAACCCTTTAGTCCTAAACCCTAAACCCTGGGGGGCTCCCTAAAGAAATCTGGATGCCATCGCCAACCGAGTCCCTCATCATCTCGTCTTTCATGGCCATCAAAGAGGCAGGTATGGCAAGCAGTGCGTGAGCCTGCATAAACATTTCTGGCGCAAGGCGACAGGCAATTTCGCCACCAAGTTGGGCCCGGGTCACAGAATGAAGTTCCACAGTGATGGACGATTGGCAGGTGCAGTTGGTCTTGTTTTGGTGCCAGGCAGTGGGTACAATGGGAAAGTTTTCCGCGGCACCATGGGTGGTGAGGGCGTGGCGGTGAAGGTGCCCTGCTAACTATGAGATGCCTTGCTTGGCGCTTATTGCCTGGGTCAGTGCCAGGTACTGGATCGCGAGGGCTTCCGGGCAGAACTGCAAGCACTCCACCGCGTCCGCCACGACTACATCGTTCAGCTGCGAGGCATTTAGCGGGTCGGCGCTTTGCCCATGCGCTTCAAGTTGTCACTTGTGCTTCTTGTCGGCTTGGGGCGAAGCCAGCGCGGGGGCCGGTTGAGGGATGTTATCTTCGGGCGACGTGCTTCAAGTTTAATGCGGGCTTTAAGGGATCTCGTGGGAACGTGACAGCTCACTTGTCACCTGGGCGACGTGGGCTTCAAGTTTTCCACGCGGGCTTTGAGAAATCACGGGAGTACGACAGCTCACTTGTCACATCTCGTCACTTGGGCGACGTGGGCTTCAAGTTTCACGCGGGCTTTAAGGGATCTTGTGGGAATGCAACAGCTGTCTTTTACCGTGGTTCTACACTGAATCAGATTACCTGGAGATGGGGTTTACCCAAAACTGCATCCGGCCTCAAGGCTTGTAGCGTCTGGTCGATAGAGCAAAGGAAAGGGAAGTCGGCAAAAGTGGATGCACAAGTTGCGTAAGTTCCTATCTTTTCTGCTCGGCAGTGGGGGAATCGCACGAGAATTAGCATCAGCAGGTAAGACCGAAAACGATCTTGAGTCTTGCTTGACGCTTGCTGGTCAGGTCCAAACAGCCACCGCCAGGGCACTAGCAGAAACAGAGACGGCAAGCGAAGCTGGCACTGTTGCAAAGCCGGAGCTGGATGACTAACAGCAACTGTCTCCGGCTCATGAGGATAGAAGCGCTGCAGCCGCGGTCCCAGCAGACTTTCAAGCAGCACAAGTTCCCTGGCTGCAAGCTATCCATTTGCGACCTACATGGATGCATCTGCGCCGGGCATCAAGATTCATGTCCAGGCCAATGCAGTGGTCGCCAGAGTTTGAGGTTTCCTTTTTGGGAACTGTAAAAGAGCATTGCGAGCTGGCGTCGGGCTTTGGGGGCATTGTTCGGGCTGGCTGGCTGGGAGATGTGGAGGTCGTGACAAAAGAGCTCCATCATGATCCGGAAAAGGAAGCCTTCTTTAAGGAGCTCTATTTTGGACTCCTGATTCCAGCTTCCCCCTGCGTGGGGTTTGCACAAGCCTCAGATGGAACAATCCGCTTGGTCGCAGCACGACTTCAGGAAACTGTTGCTCAGTTCCTGAGCCGCGGGAACTGGCCATTCACCAGCCGCAAGAAGCTCGCACTGGGTATCCTGTCTGCTGTTAATACCCTGGCCAATTTGGGCCTGGCGCACTGCGACTTCAAAGCGGATAACCTCATGATCGACAATGATGTGGTGTTCATCATTGACTTTGGGAGCGTGTCCCTGGAAGGAGGCACCCCGCCCATGAGTTGCCAGAAATACCGTCCACCAGATACAGTGGTGACCCCCTCGTGGGACATTTACTCCCTTGGTGAGATACTGGCTGAGGCGTTTGGCAACACATGTCCAGAGATGCTAGCGCTCCATGGCCAAATTTGTTGCGGCTTTGCTTCACGTCGGCCTTCCTTGCAGAACCGCAGCTGAACCGCACTAGCTAGCTGTGACTCGATGTGGGGGTTTAGGAAAATAGGGGACCCCTAAAATCGACCCCCCAACTAGTGGCATTCCCTTCGAATGAGACCCCAAGAATGCACCCTAAACCCTAAACCCTAAACCCTAAACCCTAAACCCTAAACCCTAAACCCTAAACCCTAACTTTGTAAGCCCCCCCCATGTTGCCAGCAGGGGCCATGCCATGTCTGAAGCAGAATCTGGTGCATCTTGCGAGCTACAACGCCGACGACTGGAATTGGTTAGGGTTTAGGGTTTAGGGTTTAGGGTTTAGGGCTTAGGGCTTAGGGTTTAGGGTTTAGGGTTTAGGGTTTAGGGTTTAGGGTTTAGGGTTTAGGGTACGGGAATTTCGGCCGATGGATTCGACGCCAGCCCTGGCGCAAAGAATCTTCCACCAAGAAATCCCTGACAGTTTCTGTTCTGATGGGTGCTGTGGTGGCTGCGGACCCTAACCCCTAAATCCTAACCCCAAAGCCCCGCATGGATTCCCTAATCCCCTATACCCGAAACCCCAACTCCTAAACCCCAAACACGAACTCCTAAACCCTAAGCCCTAACTCCTAAACCCTGTTTAGCTCCTTTGACTGAGGCAAGGATTCTGAAACCCCAACCCCTGAACCTGAGACTCCCCAAAACGCACTAAGCCCTAAGTCCCACCCGAGTCTCCGTCATGGCACCTTTCTCTTCATGGATAAGGGTTTCGGGTTTAGAGTTTAGGGTTTAGGGTTTAAGGTCTGGGGTTTAGGGTATATAGGGCTTAGGCTGAGGGTTCCCCATCAACCTTGGAATGACAAGGGCACCGCTGGTTCGCTTAGTGGGATCTACAACCGAACCTAGATCGAAGAGCTTCGCGCAAGCGCCTCTGAGATAGCAACACACTAGTAGGACACCTAAGAATCTTCTCGTACAAGAACCCTAAACCCTAAACCCTAAACCCTAAACCCTAAACCCTAAACCCTAAACCCTAAACCCTAAACCCTAAACCCTAAACCAAAAAACAGGTAGGTTGTACCGGTTGCTTTGAATGGCAGAGCCTTTTCCCACGGAGCTGGATGGCCATTCGCTTCATTGTGTCAATGAATTTGAGGGTTTAGGGTTTAGGGTTTAGGGTTTAGGGTTTAGGGTTTAGGGTTTAGGGTTTAGGGTTTAGGGTTTAGGGTTCCGGGTTTAGGGTTTAGGGTTTAGGGTATAGGGTTTAGTAATTTAGGGCTTAGGGTTCAATTGGCTTGGAAATCTCAAGCTGAAGTGCTTTTTGCGCCCCGGTGGGAAACCTCCGAGGCCCCAGAAGAGGGTGAGCCCTAAACCCTAAACCCTAAACCCTAAACCCGAAACCCGAAACCCGAAACCCGAAACCCGAAACCCGAAACCCGAAACCCGAAACCCGAAACCCGAAACCCGAAACCCGAAACCCGAGCCACCTGGACTTAAAAATGCATTCTGGGCAGCCAGGTGGCCACCATGACGAGGAACTGCAGTGAGGCCACCACCTACACCTGTAACCTTCGAGAGGTTCAGGAGGAGCTTCAGGGGAGGTTTAAGGGAGGTTTAGAGTAGGTTTCGGGAGGTTTACGAGGGTTGGGGAGGTTTCGGGAGGTTTAGTTGAGGGGAGGTTTAGGTGGTTTAGGGGAGGTTTGGGGTGGCATTTAGGGAACATGCTCCGACAAAATGTGCCACTGGTAGTCCAACCCTAAAGCTTAAACCCTAAACCCTAAACCCTAAACCCCAAAACCCTGAACCCTAAACCAGGGTACTGAGTTTGGGGGTCTTCTTTGTAGTTTGGTCCAAGGCAGGGCTCCCGAAAAAGTTTTAAGAGAGCCCAAAACCCCTATATTAAGCAATGGGTTTGAAACTATGTAGGGATCCTGAGTGTAGTAGCTTAAGGAATATTGGCCAGTTCTCTAAATTTGGGGCCCCTTTGTGGGTCCCAGAAGTAGAGTACGGTACCCTCAAAACAAGGCAATCCAAAACAGAGACCCTACGTACTTTAGTGAACTCGTTAGATTTTCCTTACGTGCGGGAACCCTAAACCCGAAACCCTAAACCCTGAACCCTAAACCCTAAACCCTAAACCTTAAACCCTGAACCCTAAACCCTAAACCCTACACCCTATACCCTATACCCTAAACCTGAAACCCTAAACCCGAAACCCTAAACCCTAGACCCTAAACCCTAAACCCGAAACCCGAAACCCTGAACCCTGAACCCTAAACCCTAAACCCTAATGTTGGGCTCTGTGGGCCCCCACGACGCGCCCAGGGCCCGCGCAGCCTCAGCCCGCCCATGCGGCCGCTCTCGGCGCCTCGTGGAGCGGCTTCGCGGGAGGCTGGGTGCTTTTGCAGGGGCTAGGGGGTTTAGGGTTTAGGGTTTAGGGTTTAGGTTCAGGGTCCAGGGTTTAGTTTAGGGTTTAGGGTTTAGGGTTTAGGGTTTAGGGTTTAATTAGGGTATACAGGGTGTGCAGGGTGAATGGGGTTTAGGGCTACTGGTTTGTAAGGTGCTGGGTGTGTTTTGAGCTCATAGGCGTGTTTGCATTGTACTATAAGAATCCCCAATGCCCTATCAAAATAATTAGAATTCTGAAGGGCCCTATATTACAGCAGTACCGCGAATCTGTGAGACACTGCCCTGGACGCCATCGCCTGCAGCGCATGGGCTGGGCGCCCCAGTGAAGGATGTTCTTAAGTGTTCTGCTTTGGGTCTCTAAACCTTAAGCCCTATACCTTAAACCCTAAACCCTAAACCCTAAACCCTAAACCCTAAACGCTAAGGTGCCCAAGCTTCGTGTTTCAGCCGTCGGTGCCCTCCTCGCCCGGAGCTCAAGCATTCCTGCTCGGGTTCAGGGTTTAGGGTTTAGGGTTTAGGGTTTAGGGTGTAGGGTTTAGGGCTTAGGGTTTAGGGTTTAGGGTTTAAGGTTTAGGGTTTAGGGTTTAGGGGTTTGGGTCAGGGTTTAGGGTTTAGGGTTTAGGGTTTAGGGTTTAGGGTTTAGGGTTTAGGGTTTAGGGTGTAGAGTTCCTGAACCAATGTCACTAACTTGGTAGCCCAGTGGTACCCTTTCCCTCTTTCTTGGTTCAAGGTTCTCTTATGTAGCAACAAACCCCCAAAAGGGTGCCCTTACTATCATATGGCTGCTGGGCTACCAAGTTAAAGGGGGACCCCTTCTATGCCCCCTTATATACCCCTAGTAAACCAAAGGGGCCCATACCTTCAGAACTGGAGGGTAAGGGACCACATGATGTGGTTGCTGGGTTACCAAGTCAATGCCTCAACATCAGCTGAGATGCGCAAGCAGTAGGAATGATGCTGGTCCATGCTGAGAGAAGTCGGAGCTTGCTGCCGATTTACGTCTACAGCCCCGAAGGTAGAGGTAAGTAACCCTAAACCCTAAACTCTAAACCCTAAACCCTAGACTCTGAACCCTAAACCCTAAACACCAGGCATAGGTGTGTCTCGGACGTTTCCATGCTGAATGCCTGCCTTGTCTTCAACCTCAGACGACTCCCAACGACACCCTTAAAGGGCTAAGTTCCCAATAGGGTGTAGGGTAGGTTGAGGGTCAGGGTTATCTTTCTGACTCAAAACCCCAACTTTTCAACTTTTGGGCATCTTATAAGGTAGTTTATTCTGAAAGTTTCAACTTTTACTTCCTTGGGTTTTGGGCCAGGGCCCTGACTCCTAGGGTTTAGGGTTTAGGGTTTAGGGTTTAGGGTTTAGGGTTTAGGGTTTAGGGTGGCAAACCGAGGCCGCCACCCATGGCCTCGCAGCCCGTCACGCCTGCCCGGCGGCCCAGATTCATCCCACTTGGGTTTAGGTTTAGGGTTTAGGGTTTAGGGTTTAGGGTTTAGGGTTTAGGGTTTAGGGTTTAGGGTTCATAGTGTTCATAGTGTTCAAAGGGTTTACAGGGTTTGGGGTTTAGGGTTTAGGGTTTAGGGTTTAGGGGGTGTCCTATCCTGGTTGCGGGTTTGGGGTTTGGGGTTTCAGGTGCCCCATCTGCTGGAAGGGGGCACCTGAGACCCCGAATCCTAAACCCCCGCCCTCAAATCCGTAGCCCTAAGCTCCCCCCAAAGCCCTCAGCCCCTAAAACCAAACTGCTACACCAACAAACCGTAGACTCCGAAAACACCCCAATGATGGTGCTCAGGGTTATCGTTGGGCTTGGGCTTTGGGGGCCCAGTAAAACCCAAAAGGGTACCCTTTTATTATTATTCCTGGGTTACTCCCGGGTCTAGCTATAGGGTTCAGGCTTTACGGTTTTGGGTTTGGGGTTCAGGGCTTAGGACTTAGGGAAGCCTAAAACTTAAACAAGCCCTTAACCCTCATCCCGCGAACCCTACACAAACGTAAGAACCCTAAGCCCTCAACCCTCAACCCTCAACCCTCAACCCTCAACCCTCAACCCTCAACCCTCAACCCTCAACCCTCAACCCTCAACCCTCAACCCTCAACCCTAAACCCTAAACCCTAAACCCTAAACCCTAAACCCTAAACCCTAAACCCTAAACCCTAAACCCTAAACCCTACACAAACCCTACAGTATCCACAAGCCATCAGGGCCGGCCCTCTATCTTGCGGGCGGTGTCCCCGCCTGTGAGGCCGGGCCTTGGAGCTGGGTGGAGGACCCTAAACCCTAAACCCTAAACCCTACACCCCAACCCCTAACCCCTAACCCCTAACCCCTAACCCCTAACCCCTAACCCCTAAACCCTAAACCCTAAACCCTAAACCCCAAACCCTAAACCCTAAACCCTACACCCTAACCCCTAAACCCGAAACCCGAAACCCGAAACCCTAAGCTTTGCGGGTGGGGTATATAGGGGGGGGGGGTTGGGTACTTGGAGGTTCATGGTACTGAGTAACTAATTGTAACTGTACTTAGAACTGTACTTATAGCCATATTAGGGCACTTAAGGGGCTTATAAGTACAGTTTCAAATATCATGGAGTGATGAAGATGGTTAGACTGGTTAGAAGTACAGTTATAATTAGTTACTAAGTACCATGAACCTCCAAGTAGCTGCGGGGGATTTCGGGGGTGGGCACCTCTCCGACGTGCTCACACGGCCAAGAGTGCGACCTTTCTCCCAGTTTTGCGTTCAGGGTTTAGGGTTTAGGGTTTAGGGTTTAGGGTTTAGGATTTAGGGCCTAAACCCTAAACCCGAAACCCTACACCGTACACCCTAAGCCCTAAACTCTCAACCCTCAACCCTCAACCCTCAACCCTCAACCCTCAACCCTCAACCCTCAACCCTCAACCCTCAACCCTCAACCCTCAACCCTCAACCCTCAACCCTCAACCCTCAACCCCAAACCGTACGGAGGCCACTGCAGCCGCTGCCCCTGAACTCCCCGGCCATCCGCCGCTCCGCCAGCGGTCCGAAATCCAAGGCCGCCAGCTTAGGAGCCTTCCGTGGGGGATCTGGCTGTTCCTTAGGGATGTTTGGGAGTGATTTTTAATGTTTTTGGGGGTACTATAAGTTAAGTAGCTGAGTGAGCACACTTTACACCTTTTGGGACTATAATTATAATCCCCTGTAGAACTGAAAGTGTACACTTTTTTGGTGCCTTCTGAACTCAGCAACTAAGACAATTCCTAAGAAACAGCTAAGATTATAGTTTCTGGTAACTACCACGAAAGCAGTGGAAAAGCATAATTATTTAGTGATTTTGGGCAACCTCCCAGAACAGTTTCTGGTAGGGGCTTCAAGATCAGGTTCAGGTCAGGTGCCTTTCTTGCAATCCCCGCAGCATCACGCTAAAGCCTCAACCCTTGACCCTAAACCCTAGACCCTAAACCCTAAACCCCAAACCCTAAACCCTAAACCCTAAAGCCCTAACCCCTAAGCCTTATAAACCCTAAGCCCTAAACCCTAAGGGAGACACGGTCTACGTGGCGCAGAACTCCTGTCGCAACGCCACCGTTCGCACTTCCGGGGTCGTCCAGGACCCTGCCACGGTTGAGTTCGGCTTAGGCGTTTAAGCGGAACCTTCTAAACCGTTTAAACCCTACCTTTGGGATGTTCCCCCTTTGTAGTCCCTATTTATTTAAGGACTGTTAGTACAAGGGGTAACATCCCAACCTAAACCGTTAAGACGCTAGTATAGGGGCCTTCATAATTAGAATAGGGTTTTGGGGCTTTTTGACTTTAGAATTACAAAGGGACCAGAACGGAATGATATTAGTAATTATTGCAACCCCTATATTGCCTATTTTTTTCATCCCCGAATACTGAGTCCTAGACTTTGGGGCATGGGGGTTGACTACTTCTTATCTTTAAGGGTGCCAAGCAAGCCCCTGGGCTGAGGAAGCCCTAAACCCTAAACCCTAAACTCTAAACCCGAAACCCTAAACCCTAAACCCTAAACCCTAAACCCTAAACCCTAAACCCTCAACCCTCAACCCCTCAACCCTCAACCCTAAACCCTAATTAAACCCTAAACCCTAAACCCTAGTGTTTTGCTGAAGTTGACGGTTTGGGGTTATGCTTGTAAATCTTGAGATCGGACCACTCACACCGCACGTCATGAACAACTGAAAAGCAGCACTGCGTCACTGCATCACTGCATCACTGCATCACTTTCGTTGTACCTGCTAGTGGTGTCTTTTTTGCGCCATTTGCGCCACTCTGCGATTTTCATGCCTCCGCCTTCCTCCAAGCATTTTAACTGCGACTGCGGCCGCAGATATTCCTGCGGATCGCTGGAATCCGCTCGGATTACCCAGCATCGCTGCCAAAGCAACCACGTGGAAGATGAGGACATCACGCTGCCGACGGGGTCGATTGGCATCCACACTGTGGATGATGCTGTCGCATCATGCCGCGCGACACCATGCCACCAATCTGCGATCTTCGCTTGTAAAGCGTGGCCTGCCCAAAAGGCTGCTTTGGTCAAGCAGGGTTTCACACAGTAAAAACAGACCATTCAGCTGCCATCTGCCCGCTTCCTTGATATGATGAGATGCTCAGCACAGAAGCATGTTTAGGGTTTAGGGTTTGAGGTTTCTAGGCTTTAGGGTTTAGGGTTACTACTAACATCTCCCCCCGATTCACCAAGCGCCTGCCTTCTAGGTTTAGCCGCCAGTTAAAACCCAAAACCCGAAACCCCAAACCCCAAGCCCTAAACCCCAAACCCTAAACCCCAAACTCCCAAACCCTAAACCCCCAAACCCAAAACCCTAAACCTTAAACCCTAAACCCCAAACCCTAAACCCTATAAGATGAACCCAAAACCCCAAAACCCTAAACCCTATTCCCTAAACCCTGTAAGATGGACCTCTGATCTTGATCTCCATAAAGCAGTTCCTTCCCAAGCCACGGGAGGCTGGGCCGCCCCATCTCGGCCCGCTGACATGCGGGGTCTAGGGGTTTAGGGTTTAGGGGTTCGGGGTTTGGGGTTTAGGTTTTCAGGGTTTAAGGGGTTAGGGGTTTAGGGGTGTAGGGGTGTAGGGGATTAGGGGTTTAGGGGGTTTAGGGGGTTTAGTGTTTAAGGAAGGGTTTAAGGGTTTTAGGGTTTAGGGGTTTAGGGTGTCGCGTTTAGGGGTTTAGGATTTATAATTTTAGGGGCATCCGTCCCAGAAATGCCGCGAACTCGTGCTTTACCGATGACGGGAAGTGACACATCAAAAAACAAGGCAAGCGCCATGAACCAACCCTAAACCCTAAACCTTAAGCCCTAAACCCTAAACCCTAAACCCTAAACCCATGTTCTTGCCCCAGATTGGTCTAGGGCTTTTGCTTGCCTTGTAGAGAAGGCCATTAGCACTCCCGCGACCCCTTTAGCCGACCCCTTTAGCCTAAGACCCTACAGCAAGAATATGGGGTTAGGGTTTCGGGTTTAGGGTTTAGGGTTTGGGGTTTAGGGTTTAGGGTTTGGGGTTTGGCGTTTGGGGTTTGGTGTTTAGGGTTTTTGGTTTAGGGTTTTAAGCATTTGGTGCCTTCCCCCCTTCTTTCTGTTGATCTGCAGGACATCGGATGGAGGTAGCGCGAGCTGCTTGCCCCACCGGCACGAAGCGTGGTCCATCACCAGACCAAGAGTCTAAAGCCAAAACCCCTGGGCCCTGATCCCAAGCCCTGAACCTCGAAACTGCTAAGCCCTGAGGTTTAGGCAACGCCTTCAAGGGGTTTGCCGTGACAAGGGTGCTGGGGTTTAGGTTTCGAGAGGGGCAGAACCCATCCCTCAGAAATCAGCAAATATGTGAGAAATCAGCATACTAGGGCCGGGAGTAGGCCCTCATTCCTTTTTTTTTTAGGGTAGGGGGTCCCTTATAACCCCCTTAAAACCAAAAAGGGCGCCCTTTCTATTCCTAGGTTACTCCTGGGTCTAGCATACTCCTGTCGCAGAAGTTAAGTTTCTGAGCCCCCAGACGCCCTATCCCCCCAGTCTGACCGACCAAAACCAGACGCGTGGAGGGCTGATTAATCCCTAAACCCTAAACCCTAAACGCCAAACCCTAAACCCTATATAAACCCTAAACCCTAAGCCCTAAGCCCTGAACCCTAAGCACTAAACCCTAAACCCCAAGCCCTAACCCCAAACCCCAAACTCCAAACCCCAAACCCTAAACCCTAAACCCTAAACCCTAACCCCCGCGCCCCCCCCCCAGCCCCCTACCAAAAAATGAAAAGAACAAAAAACATAAACCCATAAACAGATGGACCCTGGAAGCCTCACCTGGGTGTCGTCGTTTTTATGCGTCGCGTGGGCCCTATGCCATGGGTCCATGCCAGTGGCTCTCTCAAAGTCAGAGTGCGGACAAACCGGGATGGGCAGGTTGGGGTTTAGGGTTTAGGGTTTAGGGTTTAGGGTTTAGGGATGTTATACCTAGAACCCTTTAGAAAGGCCCATTCTACGGCCTCATAGCTATCGGGCTGAGGGTTCGGGGACTAGGGCGGGTTTCGGGTGTAGGCTTTAGGCTTTAGGCTTTAGGCTTTAGGGTTTAGGGTTTAGGCTTTAGGCTTTAGGCTTTAGGCTTTAGGCTTTAGGCTTTAGGCTTTAGGCTTTAGGGTTTAGGCTTTAGGGTTTTAGGTTTTGGGTTTTGGGTTTTGGGTTTTGGGTTTTGGGTTTTGGGGCAGCTCGTCGTGCACATGCCCGGCCCCGGCATTGAGGGAGTTTTGCGGAAAGAGGTGCAGGTCAATAGTTTTGCGTTGCGCGAGTGAAGCTGTAGGAGAAGACTCTCAGCACAAGCTCTCCAAGTCGTAAACCCTAAAGCCCAAACCCTGGGATGTTCCCCCTTCAATAAACTATAGCGAGCACTATTACCATCCCTATTGGGGGATGGCCCAACCTAAACCCCAAAACCTGTGGCTTCACATTGTGGGGCTGCTTGATCCCTGCCAAAGCCAATCCACCGGTTGAGTGGAGGCTTGCAGTTTAGGGCTTAGGGCTTAGGGCTTAGGGCTTAGGGCTTAGGGCTTAGGGCTTAGGGCTTAGGGCTTAGGGCTTAGGGCTTAGGGCTTAGGGCTTAGGGCTTAGGGCTTAGGGTTTCGGGGTTTAGGGGTTAGGGGTTAGGGGTTAGGGGTTAGGGGTTACTTACTTAGACACGAAACCCTAAAGCCTGGAACGCCAGACCCTTAGCCGCCACACATCCTAGCCGCACAAGTTTTCAGGGTGTCAGGGTCTATGGTTTAGGGTTTAGGGTTGAAGGACCTGTGTAGGATGCACAGTGTTTGGAGTTTAGGGTTTAGGGTTGAAGGACCTGTGTAGGCTGCAGCTGCGCCCTGGCGAAGCCAGGGTGTTGGGTGTTGTCCGCTTGTCCGCGGCCATCGGAGCAAATGCACATCTTGCCAGCGCCCCCAAAGAAGTGCATCCCCCTCGCAGGGGGCTTGTCTGGTGTTCGTGTTTCCAAAGGATGTTAAGGGGTTCGAGGGAACAGCAACTCGCAGACTTGCGGAGTGTTGGTCAGCTGTGCTAAGATGTCGAGATCAGCCTATCCCTAAACCCTAAACCCTAAACCCTAAACCCTAAACCCTAAACCCTAAACCCTAAACCCTAAACCCTATGCCCTATGCCCTAAGCCCCAAGCCCTAAGCCCTAAGCCCTAAACCCAAACCCTACATAAACTGGGAGCGTACCGCCCTAAACGGCCCAACAAGCGTGCGAGACAGGTGTGCGTGCCCCAGGTCCGATAGGGTACGGGCGGAGGGACCTCCTATTCAGCCTCCTTGCGAGGGAAGAACAAATCGAAAAACACCATGGCCCCCAAGAACCCTAACCTTCAGGACCAAATGAACCCCTTAAAATTGGGGTCATATATCCCTGAATACTATAATTCTCATTAAGGTATATAACCCTCAACCCTAAACCCTAAACCATAAACCCTTTGAGGGTTCATTTCGTCCCCAAGAGGCCCAAGGTCATGTTCACCTGCTAAGTTGGGGTGCGCTCTGGTTGCCTCAGTTTCGGGTTTGGGATTTGGGGGGTTCTGCCTTTGAAACCCCAAACCCCGAACCCCGAACCCCAAACCCTAAACCCTAAGCCCTAAACCCCCGAAGCCCCGAACCCTAAACCCTAAACCCCAAACCCTAAACCCTGAACCTTCCTGCGCAGCCATATAAAGTCGAGTTGTGCAACCCGTCCGAGTCACAGCCCTTATCCATCCATGGCGTCCTCCAGCCACTCCGCTGATATGAACTTCGAACCCTAAACTTTGTCATAGTTGGGTAACATGTTTTTGTTTTATTTCAAGGCTATTTAAACCCGACAAGGAATACACATCTATTTTTGGTATGGCAGCCCAACCATTAACTAAAACACTCTTCACCCAAACCCTAGCCATCAACCTTTGCGGTTCTTGTAGGGGAGTAGGGCTCCCTTTTGTGGTCAGTTCTCCAGATTACGTTCATCTCTTGGGTGCCCTAAAAATATGCGGGGCCTCCTTGAAATGGTAACCCCAAGATGGACGATACCCTCAGCCCTAAACCCTAAACCCCAAACCCTTCAAGGGCCACCTTTCGGGGGATATGTAAAGTAAAGAAGCCACGAATGCCCATGAAGAAGTAGATCGACCCTGCACCCTAAACCCCAAACCCTAAACCCCAACCCTAAACCCTAAACCCCAAACCCCAAACCCTAAACCGCGAACCCTAACCCAAAACCCTAAACCCCAAACGCTAAACCCTAAATGCCTTAGCTAGGTGTTGTTTAGGAGTTGCCCCGACGGATTGCTCTGCCTGGGATTTTTTCCGGACTTTATGTTGAGGGTTTTTGAGGATTGGGACGTGTTGGGGATGCAGCGTTTTTTTGTGTAGGAGTCCAATCTACCCAAAAATCCCCAAATTTCCCCTACGTAATCTACTAAGTTCTTCGGAATTGGGGTGGCTGTGTAGCTTCACCCTCAAGAACCCTAAGCCCAAAACCCAAACAAACGCCCGAGGAACCCCAAACCCTAAACACACGTACACCCGAAACCCTAAAAACAATCCCTAAACCCGAAGCCCTAAACACCCTGACCCTGAAAAGCTCGAAGGTCTCAGCCTCCGAAGGTTAAGGAAAAGGGGTCCCAGGAAACCCCAAACCCTAAACCCTAAACCTTAAACCCTAAACCCCAAACGTGCGCCTCCAGAGGCATTGACAAGCGGCTGTCTGCCGGGGCGGCGCCCCGTCTGAAAAATGAAGCCCCTGACAGCCCTGCACCCCTTTGACTAGGCAATAAACCCTAAACCCTAAACCCTAAACCCTAACAAATTATAAACCCTAAACCCTAAACCCTAAACCCTAAACGCTAAACCCTAAACCCTAAACCCTAAACCCTAAAGGGCTTCGGGCTTAGGGTTTAGGGTTTCAGAATTTAGGGTTTCTTGGGCTTCGGGATCCTCATATGGTATTCTTCGTCAGGTATTGGGCTTTTAGTTATGGGTTCTTCCGCAGTGTACCATGCGACCCATCGTCAAATGCTCAGCTTCTTTCAGAAATGTTGCCTCTTGCCCCTGGTTTGGGCACCTGATATAGCATGGCCCCTTACTGTCTATGCAGGGTACTTGCTTTTTTTTTTGGGGGGGGGGGGGGTTATGTTGCGCTACGGATTTAGGCCATCACCTGGCGCATCAGGGTATCAATCGGCATTGGGAGAAGGGCTGTATTGAGCTTGGTATAATAGGGCACTGGTCCGGAAAGCGTTGGTCTGAATTTTCAACCTGCTGCCTCCTCCTGCTTGTCAGAAACACTTTGACAAACCTTGTCGCGGGCTATCTTTTATTTAGGGCTTTAGGGCAGTTCATGCCCTTCAATTGCGTGCCCTCCCCACTCCAGCCCCTAGACCCTAAGTCCTGAGCCCTAAACCCTCCCAAGGAAACCCCAACCCCAAACTCTCAATCCCCAAGCCGTTCTGCTTCCGCGCTATGGCCATTTGATCTTCCAGGCGGCCGTATTCCAGTAGGAAACCCACAAGGCACCACAATTCTCGATCAGTGTTAGGGATCCTTTTTACTTTTTGGGTTATGGGCTTTCTTATATATGAACAAAAAGGATCCTTTTTCTTCCTAGGGGAACAGGGATTAAGAATTGAGAGAACTACCATGTAATATTTGCCATACTGCTTAAAAGGGTCTTGAACTTTCGCCTCGGTCCCACCCTCCCTCCGTCTCAAAGCTTGTGGAAGCTTGAGCCTTCCTCCTTCAGGGTTTAGGGTTTAGGGTTTAGGGTTTGGGGTTTAGGGTTTAGGGTTTAGGGTTAGGGTTTCGGGTAGCACGATGCGCCGAATTGCAAGGACGACTCCATCAACCAGCTCCCTGGAGACAAGCTTCCTCCGGGAGTCCGGGAGTCCTTTAAGGGAAAAGCACCCTAAACCCTAAACCCTAAACCCTAAACCCTAAACCCTAAACCCTAAACCCTGTACCCCGCCTATGGAAGAGGTTCAGCATGGGGGTATTCGGGCCTCTGCCACTGCAGTTTCTAGCTTTGTTGGGCACCAAAAAGGCCCTAAACCCTCGACCCTCAGCCCTTGACCCTAAACCCTAGACCCTAAACCCTAAACCCTAAACCCGAAACCCTAAACCCTAAAACCCTCAACCCGAAACCCGAAGCCCAAAACCCAAAAACCCAATCTGCTCTCACATTTTCGGGGTCGAACCGAAGAGCACCTCGTCGAACCCCTTCCTCCTTGGACAGCGGCCCCCCCCCCCCCCCCCCCCCCCCCTTGTCAAAAAGGTAGGGTTTAGGGTTTAGGGTTTAGGGTTTAGGGTTTAGGGTTTAGGGTCTAGGGTCTAGGGTCTAGGGTTTAGGGTTAGGGGTTTGCATTGCAATCTCAGGGAATATGCGAGGGTTGAGTCCTCTACCGGGTGATTCAGGGCCTTTTCGGGTGGAGGGCTGTGAGGTTAAAAGCTAATTTTGCGGGGGCCCCTAAAGCCTCAAGGGCCTCCGGGTTTAGGGTTTAGGGTTTCGGGTTTAGGGTTTAGGGTTTAGGGTTTAGGGCAAACCCTTGAGCCCTTAACAGAGACCCTCAACCCCCCCCACCCACCCCGCACCCCACATCCTAAACCCCGCAAAAGCCTTTTTTTGAGGCACCGGGTTCCCCTACCGAGCCTTTGCCCTAAAGCCAGGGATTGTTGTTATTCAACACTAATATTATGTTGCCTCTTTTTTTTTGGGGGGGGGGGGGTGAGAATGTTTTAGGGTTTAGGGCTTTTCGGCTTTTAGGCGCTTTCGGGCTTGAAGGTTTTTAGGGCGTTCAGGGTTTTGGGGCGTTTAGGGTTTGGGAAGTGGGTGCGGCCGGTGTGGGTTTGCAGGGGCTGATTCATCGCAAAGGGCCCCTCGTCTCCTAAACCTTAAACCCTAAACCCCAAACCCTCAACCTTAAACCCTAAACCCTAAACCCTAAACCCTAAACCCTAAACCCTAAACCCTAAACCCTAAACCCTAAACCCTAAACCCTAAACCCTAAACCCTAAACCCTAAACCCTACACTCTGGCGCTAAAAAGTTGACAAAGGTTGGATGGCAAGTTCAAGGGCAGCTCCATGCGTGTGGCCAAGCCCAAGACGCCTGCACCCAGCGAAGGCGTGGACTTTGGAGTGCAAGGTTTAGGGTTTAGGGTTTAGGGTTTAGGGTTTAGGGTTTAGGGTTTAGGGTTTAGGGTTTAGGGTTTAGGGTTTCGGCGGGTTGTCGGTACTTCGGGTTCCGGGTGTAGGGCATACCATGTTTCTGTGCACATGCACTTCTCTGTTCATATGCATGCAAGTGTCTATATTTATGTGTATATCGCGAATACATATATATGTATCTATATAATGAATGTGGATACATATATATATATATATATGTCTATATATATATATGTATCTATATATATATATATTTATTTATTTATTTATATATTTATATACTTGTATATTTATATACATATATATATATATATAGGTATATATAAATATACATATATATATATAAATATTTAAATATTTAAATATATATAATATATTATAATATATATATATTATTATATATATAATATATATATATATAATATTTACATATATATATATACTTATATATATATCTATTATTATATTTAAAATATTTATAAAATTATGTATATATTTATATATATATTTACTATAATATTTAATTTACTATATGTATATTTTATATATTATATATTTCTATATTTATATATTTATATATAATATAGATTTATTTAGATTCATTTTTTTATATTTTTCTATATTTTTGTATATTATTTTTTTAATACTTATATATTTATATTTATATTGTTATATTTGTATATTTATTTTTTATATATTTATGTATTTATATATTTTTATATTTTTGTATTTATATATTTATATATTTATATATTTATATATTTTTATATTTGTATATTTATATATTTATATATTTTTATATGTATATATTTATATAATTATATATTTATATATAAATATATAAATATATAAATATATAAATATATAAATATATGTATTTTCTCATTCATACGCATGTATGGATATGAGCATGTGACTACATCTTTATATTACATGTGCGTGGAGCAGATCTGTCTTGGGCAACGAGCTTTGTGGCTTTCACTGCCTGTACATCCGACAAGCGCTTAAGTTCAGAGCCTGATTGCATCTTAGGGGCCTAAACCCTAAACTCTAAACCCTACAAGCCTTAAGCCCTGAACCCCAAACCCTAAACCCCAAACCCTAAACCCGAGCCCTAAACCCTAAACTCTAAACCCTACACCAGACCTTACCCCTTGAGCCTGGGCCCTAAAAATCCTGAAAAGCCCTGAGCCCAAAGCCCCACGGGTTGAGGGTTTAGGGTTTCGTGTTTATTCTAGGGTTTAGGGTTTAGGGTTTAGGGTTTAGGGTTTAGGGTTTAGGGTTTAGGGTTTAGGGTTTAGGGTTTAGGGTTTAGGGTTTAGGGTGGGTGCAGGGTGTAGGGTGTAGGGAGTTTCAGGCTGCTTCTCCTTCCTCTGCGGCGGTGCTCCTGCCAAGGAGCGCAACTTGGCCAGCAGATTTCCAAGGGCCGTACCTACACCCAAAAGCCTCAGACCCTAAACCCTAAACCCTAAACAACTAAAACCCTGAAACCGGTTAGGGGTTGAGGTCTGGCAAGTCGGCCCTACCGATATTTTAATGCTTTTTTTTTGTTTTTCCCCCTTTTTTTGGGCTTGATAGGACCAAAGTGCCAACCAAGCTTTTTTCGAGTTCCTTAAGAACCCCAAACCCTGAACCCGAAAACCCAAGCCCTAAACCCTAGTGTTAAATCATGGAACCTGAGACGGGTTTTCGATTCACGGTTGAATGAGTCTGCTTCGTGACAGGTCTGGTATGTAATAGGACACCACCACCGATGAAGTAGGCAGGCGCCGAAACCCGAAACCCTAAACCCGAAACCCTAAATCCTAAACCCTAAACCCTAAACCGTGGGAGGGGCAGGGCGCCGAAGATCAGAGTTTAGGGCTCAAAGGGTTAACAACATGCTCAGAAGCCCTCAGCCCTAAACCCTACCCTAAAGCCGAAATCGTAAACCCGAAGCCCTAAAACCACCCCAAAAAATCCTACGTTGCAGTTTGAAGCCCTAATACGCTCTTGCCACCCAAGCCAGTCAGAATCAACTTTGGGGAGCCTTTACATTGCTATTCTTCTTCTTATTATGAATTATATACAAAAATCAATACATATATATATATATACATATGTGTATGTTATATTGGGCTTCAGGTTTAGGGTTCAGGGTTTACGGTTTAGGGTTCCTATATATGTACATACATAACATAGTATACTCGATCTGAGGCGAGGTGGATGTCATCCTCATCGGTGCCGGTGTGATGAGCGCCACCGCTCGTTGGCGAAATCAGAGTTGCGCTGGCGGGTTTAGGCTTTAGGGCTTAGGTGTGGGTTTAGGATTTAGGGTATAGGGTGTAGGGTTTAGGGTGTAGGGTTTGGGTTTCGGGTGTCCTTCTCAGGTGCCCTTATCCACTTAGTTGCTTAAGAACCGGAAAAAAATCCTAAACCCTAAGCCCTAAACCCTAAACGAGAGGTGATAATTTAGGGTTTAGGGCCCTTGCACCCTCGGGCTGCCACACGCGCCGCTGAACAAAGGTCGGCCTGATGCTGAAGGAGTCCGGGAAGTGCATGTAGGGTTTAGGGTTTAATTAGGGTTTAGGGTTTAGGGTTTAGGGTTTAGGTTTAGGGTTTAGGGTTTAAGGTTGAGGGTGCGGAGGCGGAGGGTCTCGAGGGGCTGAGTGCTAGGACTGTATTTGGGCTGAGGGTTTTCAGGAAGTAGGGTTTGGCATACTCTTTGGGGGGATTCAACTCCAAATACGGGCTGAGTGCTTAGGTAAGTATGCTGGGCTGAGGTGTTTAGCTGGGCTTGCTCTTATGGGTTTTTCCACCCCCAACTAAACTCTTAGCCCTAAACCCTAAACCCTAAACCCTGAACCCTAGACCCTAAACCCTAAACCCTAAACCCTAAACCCTAAACCCTAAACCCTAAACCTTCAACCCCGAGCCTCCACCTTCAGCCCGAAGCCTCTGAAGCTCGAACCTTCCCAAAAGGAGCCCAGGGAGCCCAACGGTAGACCCAGAGTAGGCGCTTGTTCCCCTGTTTAGGGTTTAGGGTTTAGGGTTTAGGGTTTAGGGTTTAGGGTTTAGGGTTTAGGGTTTAGGGTTTAGGGTTTAGGGTTCCCTTTATATGCCCCTTTAGACCAAAAAAGGGCACCCCTTCTTGTTGCTGGGTTACTCTACTTCCTAGCCATCTGCCCCTGAACTATGAACTATTCCCCAAGCCATGTAACCATCCCTGGTTGCAATTTCAGGCACCTTCCTTGCATGTGTATACTACAAAGCAACCCTATCAACCTTATAAACCCTACAAAGCCCACAAACCTTCTCAACCCCATAAACCTCATAAACCCTGTGAACCCTACCTACCAACCCTATAAACCCTACACACGCCATAAACCCTATAAACCAACCCTATAAACCCTATAAACGCTATCAACCCTAATTATCAGCCCTATTAACCCTAACCACCCAAAAACCCATGAGGAGCTGCGGCACTAAACCCTAAACCCTGAACCCTAAACCCTAAGCCTTTAACCCTAAACCCTAAACCCTAAACCCTCAACCCCACACACCCATGAGGAGCTGCAGCCCAACTGGAAGATGATGATGTTTGAGCGCCTCGGCGCGCCGGGTGAGGAGAGCTCCAACGGCTTCAACAACGCAGGCGCCCGGGAGGGGCGGCTTTGTTCGGCTGGAACTTTCTACCAGGACGGGCTATTGGGCCCTATAATCCCCATAATCAACCCTATATCGGGCCTTTTTGAGGGGGTGATAGGGTATAATAGCCCGTCCTGGTAATGCCCCCCGAAGAGCAGCCCCGCTTGGGTAGTTGTTTTATATTTGGGGTCCCTGGCGGGGTCCTTAGTTTAAGCGTGCCGTGCTATATTTTGGACCTGAACCCTCAGTCACTCAACGCCTTCAGCGATGAGCCCCTCGTCCAGTCGCCCCCACTCTAAACCTCGTACACCGCGAGTAGGTTAGGGTTTAGGGTTCAGGGTTCAGGGTTCAGGGTTTAGGGTTTAGGGTGTAGGGCTTAGGGTTGACGGTTTAGGGTTTCGGGTTTAGGGTCTAGGGCAGTAGGATCCTGACCAAAAATCGGATGCCCAAAGGCGTCAGTTCTCTCACTGATCCTCCCTTCGGAGGTATGTTTTTATTTGAGGCCAGGACCCAGACTGGGTTCAGGGTTTAGGGCTTAGGGTTAAGGGTTCAGGGCTTAGGGTTTAGGGTTTAGGGTTTAGGGTTTAGGGTTTAGGATTTAGGGCCAGGATCCGGCGTAGGCCCTGATTCCCATGATTTTGGGGCTTAGGTGCCTCATAAGCACCCTCTGAGCCAACAAAAAGCACCCTCTGTTATTCCTGAGGAGAAGTTCCACCGACGGGTTGGCAGTGGTGGTTGAAGCCGTGGACCCTAAACTTGGGATGTTCCCCCTTATACTAACAGCTCCTTAATGGGAAGGGGGGGGGGGGGGGCTACTAGACCCTATTAAGGACTGTTTTATAATCCCAATCTTAAGCACTAAGCAGCATCGCAAGAAATCCTAAACCCTCCACTCTGACAGGCACCGGCCACGCCGGCTTTATGGAGCCACTGGTCTGAAAAAATGACACGAACAAGTCACATCTTGAAGGTGCATCTTTTTTTTTATTTTACCGGGCGCAAAAGGGGGGTAGAGGATTGAGGGTTGAGAGTGCAAGAAGGGGCCCAGCCCTCAAGCTTGTGGTCGTGCCGTGACGTCTGACACCTTTGCTTCAAATACCCGGCACATCCCTGACCGAGGCCCAACTACACGAAAGAAGTGAAGAATTCGGACGGCACACTCAAGACGGTGACGACTGACAAGGTTGAGTCCTCTGGGCGGCACTGGTGTACTTGGAAGCCCTTGTGACTTAGTAAGTCTACCTAGTATCCCCTAGAATTCCCTTTATAACCATCCCCAGAATCACAACCTGCTAATCCTACTTGCTACTTCGAAACTGCTTCCAAGCAAGGAGTCTTGTGGGCGCATGGCCCTCTACAAAGTCAGGTAAACCCTACCATGACAGGCGGTTTGACCCTGAAACCTCTTTAAACAAGCCTTTGTAGCGTTGATTACGGGGATTGCAAGGCCACCCCCTTAAACCCCAAACCCTAAACCCTAAATCCTAAACCCCAAACCCTAAACCCCTGGTAGTCTGTACGGTTTGAGGTTCGGGGTTTTGCCACGCATGTTTGTGTTTACATGCTTCTCATCGGACACCGATGTGAGCTCCGAGGCACGTGTGCGAGCAGTTCCTCTCCAGCCGCCAGTACTGGGAGTACCTTACGAAGAAGGGGTATCTTCCCAAGCCGGACTGGTCCCTTCCCTAAACCCTAAACCCTAAACCCTAAACCCTAAACCCTAAACCCTAAACCCTAAACCCTAGACCCTAGACCCTAGACCCTAGACCCTAAACCCTAAACCCTAAACCCAGAACCCTAAGCTGCCCTAAACCACCCTAAACCCACAAGATTCGTGATGAAGTTTACCACCACTAAGCCACTCCCTGATCACCCCTACACCGCCCTCCGCCCCACACCCCTAGACCACGGACCCTATAAACCCCATACTATAAACCCTGTCAGTCCTATGAACCCTATAAACCCTTCAAACTCTATGAATCCTATAAACCCAATAAACCCTATAAACCCCAGAGACACTATGAATCCTATAAAGCCTATAAACTCCTATAAACCCCACAAACCCCATAAAGCAGAAAAAACAAGCTCATAAACCCTACAAAACCCGATAAACCCCAGAAACCAGAAAAGGAAACTCACACCCCACAAACCAGAAAAAAACTCATAAACCCTGTACAGCCTATAAAACCAATAGACCACAAACAATCCTTTAAACCCATTATTCCTATAAACCCTACAAGCCAGAAAAACAAAAAAACAACAAGAAGAAGCTCTAAACCCCATACATCCTATAAACCCCAATAAATCCTATAAACCCTATGAAGCTTATGAATCTTACGCAGGACACGTGGATCCACCAGACAAACCACATCGCGCTGGGAGTTGGACAGGACCGAACCCCAATAAAAAAACCAAACGCCAAGCCCAAAGCTCTGAACCCTGAAGCCTTGGCTTGGGGTTTGGGGTTATGGTTCAGGGTTCAGGGTTCAGGGTTCAGGGTTTAGGGTTTAGGGTTTAGGGTTTAGGGTTTAGGGTTTAGGGTTTAGGGTTTAGGGTTCAGGGTTTGGGGTTTAGGGTTTAGGGTTTAGGGTTTAATTAAGGTTTACGGTTTCCCAAGTCAAGGGTTTCCCAGGTTTAGGGTTCAGGGTTCAAGGTTCAGGGTTTAAATCAAAAGCTCTGAACCCTGAACCTTAACCCTAAACTTTAATGCCTAGATCCTACAGACAGGTTCGAAAATGTCCTTAAACCCCACCGGAAATCCTTTCAGGGCTTAGGGTTTCGGGTTGTAGGGTTTAGGGTTCAGGGTTTACAGTGCTTAGGGTTTACATGCTACTTCTGCACTTCTAGCAGGACCAGGTGGAATTCATCAAGAAGCGCTACGAGGCGATGAAGGAGCGCCGGAGGGATTTAGGGATGAGAGTCTCTAAGCCCTAAACCCGAAAGCCTAAACCCCAAACCCCAAACCCTAAACCCTAAACCCTAAACCCTAAACCCTAACCCCTAAACCCTAAACCCTAAACCCTAAACCCTAAACGTCTTGAGGCTTCGGGTGTAGGGCACATTGGCACTGAGGCCCCCGTCAAATCTTCATTCGCCGTTTCCGACAACCCGACACACCCTTGACCCCCTCATTGCGTTTCGATCGCTTTATAGTATGTATCTGTGGCTGCGACATATTTTTCGACGTATTTTAGAGTCATAATATTTTGTGTGCTTGTTTGTTCAAGCATGCACCCTAATCCACTAGTTAGCCCAGAAGCCTGAATCCTAGAGCTCTAAGGCCCTGGAGCTATAGGGTCTAAGGTTTAAGGCTTATGCAGGGTTTCTGCTGGTGTGACCTAGCAGGTTGAGAGGTAGGAACAAGTGGAGTGCGCAGTTCCCTTGTCCCTAAACGCGGAGTAACGCTTTTTCCGCACAAGCGGACAACAGAAAGACTTGAATGTCTGTGATGTCTTTGATATTAACTGTGCACCAAAGTTTGGGTGGTGACACCTACAGGCCACATGCTGTACATGCTTGAAAGATGTTCTTATGACCTTCTTGGGCCTACAAGCAACAGGGAAAAACAAGTTGAGCAACACTACTAAGTGACATGTACAGAAGTACGGTTTCCACAGTTTCCCTAAACCAAATCCCAAACCCCCCCAAACCTGAACCCCACCCCCCACCCGAACCCCTAAACTTCCAGGCCTCAAACCTTAAACCCTAAGCCCTAAACCCTAAACCTTTTCCCCAAGCCCTGCACGCCAGCCCTTCCACCCCGAAAGCCCAAACATCCCTTCAAGTAAGGGACAGAACGCCGACCATGCGAGCATCCCCACCATAAGTTGCGGTATATTCCTGAGTTAATTAACCGTACACCCTAAACCCTGGGTTTAGGGTTGAGGGCTAACCCTGAACCACAAAACCCCTAAACCCTGAAACCCAAACCGGCCTTTTTCCTCCTAAACACTAAACCCTAAACCCTAAACCCGAAACCTTGAGGACCATCCCCTCTTCAGCTCCATGGAGATCTGTCTGCCGGAGGTTCCTCAAACTTGACTAGGGGGTTTTAGGGGTGGAGGGCTTGAAGGCTCTTAGGGTTTCGGGTTTAGGGTTTAAGGCGCCTAGGGTTTAAGGCTCTGAGCGTTTTGGGCTCTTAGGCTCCAGGGGATTAGGTTTGTAGGGCCGTAGTCCTTAGGGAGTCCTTTCATTTTTTTTTTTTTTTTTTTGGGGGGGGGGGGGGTGTTCGGGGCTTTTTGGGCTCAAGGCTTAGGTTAAGGGGGTGTAGGGTCAAGGTTTAGGGTTTAGGGTTAAGGGTCGGAAAGCAGGGACGCCCCGTACCAGACATCACACAACGGATTCAGCCAAGAGAAGTACGCTTTTGTTCTCATCGGATGTCGAAGAACCTAGTCTACAAGAATCCCCCAGAGCCCGCCAGGCCTTAAGGAATAAACCTCACTTGATCGACAACCAGGGTTTAGGGTTTGGTTTAAGACGCATTCCTGAGTTAAGGGAACTGGGCTCTATAGGTTGAGTCAAGCAACCTAGTCTACAAGATGCCCGCCGAGAGCCCGCCCCGCCAGACCTTAAGGAGTTTAGGGCTTAGGGTTTAGCATGATAGACAACCAGGATGCCGATATGGTGGAAGACGTACTCCTGAATGAAGGGGTACTGGGCTCTATAGGTTGGGTCGGGTCCATAGAGGTCTTGGCCTCCAACTAAGGAACTTGGGAGCCTGGACTGATAGCTGTAGGTTTCAGGCTTCAGGGCTTCGGGGCTTCGGGTTTAGGGTTTAGGGTTTAGGGGCTTAGGGGTTTCGGGTTTCAAGCGCCCCTCAAGACCTAAACCCTAAACCCCTAGATGCCAAAACACGCCCGCCTGCACCAGGAGAAGGAGAAGGCCAAGCAGTGGGTTCCACTCGTTGTCAAAGGCCGGGTTGAGCCCGAATTGCCCTCAATCATTCTTACTTTTGAGGGTTTTGGGGTTGAGGGTTAGGGCTTAGCATTTATTCCAGAGCCTCCAATGCTCCTTCCTTAAGGAACATTCCATGCACTATATGCTGCCCTGATTAAGCCCGATGCCCTAAACCCTGCGATGCTCTCAATCCTAACGCCCCGTAGACAGATGAAACAAAGCCTAATCCCCCACCCACACACACGAAAAAAAAGAGAACAATCAATTAAGGGACTAGCGGCGGGTCTCTTATCAGGGACAGGCATTGAGCGCTCTCGGGATTAATGGAGCCCCAAAAGGAAGACTCCTAAACCCTAAGCCCCGAAACCCTAAAACCCGTATAAGAGGACGCCGTCATTAAGGAAGCTCCTAAACCCTAAACCCGAAACCCTAAACCCTAAACCCTAAACCCTAAACCCTAAACCCTAAACCCTAAACCCTAAACCCTAAACCGCCGGAGGCCGCGATCCCAACGAGCCGATCTGCATGACCAAGGTGCCCCATGGACGCTTGGAGCGCGTTGAGGTATAGGGTTTAGGGTTTAGGGTTTAGGGTTTAGGGTTTAGGGCTTCGGGCTTAGGGCTTAGGGCTTAGGGCTTAGGGCTTAGGGTTTGGCTTGCGGCCTGAAGTCAGCCCAACCCATAAACCCTGCTGACTCGTCCTCATAGCATGCAGGGTCCTGAAACCCTAAACCCTAAACCCTAAGCCCTCAACCCTCAACCCTCAACCCTCAACCCTCAACCCTCAACCCTCAACCCTCAACCCTCAACCCTCAGGTTCAACCCTCAACCCTCAACCCTCAACCCTCAACCCTCAGGTTCAACCCTCAACCCTCAACGGACTTTGTGGCTCTGCCCCAGGCACGGATGTTGATTACGGCGCACTGACGAAGGCCAAGATCACGGCCTTCCAGGATCTGGGAGGCAGGTTTAGGGTTTAGGGTTTAGGGTTTTAGGGGTACCCTAAAGCCTGAACCCAAACCTCCTACCCGGAACCGTAACCCCGAAGCCCGAGGGCCCGAAAGCCCAACCGCCTTCACCTCAGAACCACGAGGTGACCTCCGCTTGCACACTGAAGTCAAGGATGTCAAGAAGGCGCGTAGGGATTAGGGTTTACGGTTTAGGGTTTAGGGTTGAGGGTTGAGGGTTTAGGGTTTAGGGTTTAGGGACACGGCTCGGGGTTTAGGGCTTAGCTTCCAGGACTAGGGGGAGTTGTGTGGGGGGGTGGCTTAGGGTTGTGGCTTTTCGGATTTTGGGGTTGAGTTTCGTGAGGCTTGACCTCGAGGCTTGCCAGACACCTTGTTCGCCTTCCCCATGAACCCTAAACTCACTGAACCCTAAACCCTAAACCCTAAACCCTAAACCCTAAACCCTAAACCCTAAACCCTAAACCCGAAACCTTCAACCCACTAGCCTCCACCCAGACAGCCCAAGCTCCCCTAAACTCCCTTTAAATCCCTAAAGCCACAAACTCTATAAACGCCCAAAAACTTAAGACCACCCGCCCTAATCACCCTAAACCCTAAACCCTAAACCCTAGCCCTAAACCCTAAACCCTAAACCCTTCACCCGAAGACCCCTCATCACCGGAAGCCACCGTGCCAGAAAGACGGCAAGTGGGTCGTGACGACCCACGTCCGGGGCGCAGGGTCAGGCCAGGGGTTTAGGGTTTTAGGGTTTAGGGTTTAGGGTTTTTCGGGTTTTAGGGTTTTCGGGTTTTAGGGTTTTTGGGTTTTATGGTGTTAGGTTTGTAGGGTTGTAGGGTTTTAGGGTTTAGGGTTTTATGTCGGGCGTTAAGGTTTTCGGGTTTTAGGCTTGTAGGGTTTCAGGCTTTTAGGGTTTGAGGGTGGGTTTTGAGGGTTTTAGTGGGTTTGGAGGGGGTTTAGGGCTTTAGGGTGTTCGGGGGTTGGGGTTTTCGGATTCAGGGCTTGAGGATTTTGGGATTGTAGGAGGTTGGGGGTTTGGGGTTTTGGTGCTTTGGGGTTTTGTGTTTAGCGGGTTTGGGGTTTAGGGTGTTAGGGTTCAGGGACGTTTAGAGGGTTTGGGATTTAGGAGTTTGAGTCTAGGGTTTGGGGTTTACGCTTGGTGGCTTTATGGCCTCACGGCTTCAGCGTTTTAGGGTTCGCCTAAACAAAACCCCATCATTTCAACATGGCAATTTCGCCAAGACCACAAACCGTGAATTTCCAGGGCCTGAACTCAAAAGCCCAAAGATACTTCCAACACACACCTAAGGCTGTGCATGTGCGCCTATATTATAGTATATACTTGGGCCTTGAGGAGTTCCCATAGAGTAGCTTTAGGGCCCAAGTATATACCATATAGGTACATGATAGGCACTGCCTCACCCAAAGCACACCCTCCTGCGAATTACCGCAAACCCTGAACCCTAAACCCTAAACCCTAGGCCCTAAACCCTAAACCCTAACCCTGACCTGGCAGGTTGGGCGTACAACAAGGCCAAGTTTGTCTTTGTCGGAGCCGGAGGCAGCGTCAACAGCTGGACAGCCGCCCTAAACCCCCAAACCCCAAGCCGCAAACCCTAGACCCGAAACCCTAAACCCCAAACCCTAAACCCCACACCCTAAACCCCAAACCCTAAACCCTAACTCCTGAAACTGCAAAACCCTGAACGCCTAAACCCCTAAATAGCCCCCCCCCCCCCCCCCCCCAGATACCCCCAATATCCCCATTCAGGTACACTTCCGCCCTTATTAAGGGGCACTTCGGGGGTTGTAGCCCTAAACCCTAAACCCCAAACCCTAAACCCTAAACCCTAAACCCCAAACCCTAAACCCTAAACCCTCAACCCTAAAACCTAAACTCTATACCCTAAACCCTAAATCCTAAGCCCCAAACCCCAAACCCTAAACCCTGAACCCCTGAATTCTCACCCCTCAGCCCGCCAGGCTGGGCACTGCTGATGCTTCAGAAGGCTGGCATCCCAGAGGTCAACGGCGCCTGGGGCCGAAAGGAGCGATCCCGAGGGTTTAGGGTTTGGGGGTTTAGGGTTTAGGTTTTAGGGGTTTAGGGTTTAGGTTTTAGGGTTTGGGGGTTTAGGGTTTAGGTGTTAGGGCGGTTAGGGTTTGGGGTTCAGGGTTTAGGGAATAGGGTTTAGGGTTTAGAAGCCCTTTTGACCTAGTAAGCCTACTTAGTATCCCCTGATATTCCCCTTAATCCCCATAACCCACTTTGCTAACTCAAAAGGGCTTCCAAGCAATGTCAGGGTTTAGGGTTTTAGGCTGTAAGGACTTAGGGGTTTTCGGCTTTGCAGGTTCAATGATATTGGGTTCAGAGGCAAGGGTCTTGCTTTCGGATGTAGGGTTGACCCCTGCGCCCCAACCTGCTAGTATGAAATATTCCCATTTGAACATATTGGGGGTGTCCGAAAATAAGGCACCCCGAATAGAGACCCCAACAAGTGGGATCCCCTTATCATAAGGACCCAATAAGGCACCCCTAATTTCGGAAACCCCCATATATTATACGAAACACCTTGGACCCAATCTGAACACAAATCAAGCGTTCCTGTCCCTAACATTCCGAGCGCTGCGCAACGCATGTAGGGCCTCGGCACCCCAAACCCAACACCCGGGTTTAGGGTTTGGGGTTCAGGGTTTGGGGTTCAGGGTTTGGGGTTCAGGGTCCAGGGTTTAGGGCTCAGGGCTCAGAACCCCCAAGCCACGCTGAGGCTACATGGCGCTGCCCGTCACTGGCGACTGGGCAATTTGCCAGAACCCAGAGGCCCAAGAATCGGGATCTTTTCCAGAGGTCCTTAAGGGAGGGGGTTCAGGGCTACAAAACACCTAAGGTTTAGGTTGAGGGTTGAGGGTTTAGGGTTTAGGGTCTAGGGACCCCCCATCATCACCCATCACCACGGCTTCCATGGCCTTGGTTGTGTTGGAGGTTCTAGGCGTCGCTCTCTTGGATGGTTTTCCGGACCTTACAAGGGCAGTCCCTTTTGAGTCCTATCCCCCAAAAGGGTATGAATTTAGAGATTTACCCAGGTTTGCCGTGATGTCTGTGGTGTCTTGTAGGTTTGCATGAGGGCGCAAGAACCCCCTGGTTGTGACCCGACATGCCAACGTCGGATGCTACGAGCTCGGAGTTCGTTTTTGCACTCATCCCCTTACAGTAGCAGCCCTACCGAAACAATGATGTTGCCAACTCGCCATGGCACTTGGTGGATAAGTCTTGGCTTTCTTCTGGCTCTTGGGACTTTAAACTTTTGGGCTTTTGCAGAAGCTACAATAAGGAGCCTACAAGCTAATCGTTTAGGCGGTGTTCAGAAGTCAGCCAAGAAGTTGCCGCGGCAATGTGTGTGTGTGTGTGTGTGTTTTTTTTTTTTTTTTTTTAACTTGTTTGTGAATCTCAGGTTC